TCCAGTTCTTTTGATTTAAAAGATATTAAAAGACTTTGCAGTGTTAAAGTTTTGAAGCTCCAGTTTTTTATGCCTTTTTTCTTCTTAGATCTTACACTGCCTACGGAGGCGCTTATTCTGAACAAGGAATAGGACAGATCTGGTTGGACGATGTCGGCTGCTCAGGATCCTCAATAATCTCCTGTAGTCACAATGGGTGGGGTGTTCACAACTGTGGTCATTACGAAGATGTATTCGTCAAGTGCACTTAGACGCAAAGATCTTTGAATTGCAAAGTCGTTATTTTTTCCATCAAATTTGAGATTATATTTCTATCTTAACTTGTTTGTCGTTTCTTTTCTTTTATTTTTGTTTACTTCGTTCTGATTTTAATCAAAAACACTATACTAATACATGTATGCCAGAAACAACTTCTTCCTTTGAATATATATGTGTGTTGATGAGATGTGAGTGCATACTTTTATTAGTTTAAAATATATTTTATTCATAGAAATGGATTGAACAGCAGGCAAAACTTCCTATGATCTCTCTCCAAAGGTCACAGTACAATGACAAGTACATGTAAACGTTGAAAAAAAATGTATGAAGAGTATATTATCAATTGGTACATATTAAGAATGAATTCGGAGAGAGGGGGAGAGAGAGAGAGAAAAAAAAGAGAGAGAGTAAAACAAATGAATAGAAAAAGAATAATTTAAAAAATAAATAGGAAAAAATAATAATTAAATGAAATACAAACAAAAATATTTTTTTTAAAAATGACAATAAACAAAAAACCATATAATTTGATTTTGATATTGCATATTCTGCATAATTTCCAATTCACCAAAACACTGATAATCCCAAAAGTTTAAATCAGTGGTAGAGTGTTTCATGTTCTATCGTGCTTTATCGGAATTCCAGTTTTTATTTAAATTAACCACATTATTCCAGGCACCAAGGTCTTATAATTCGGAGAGCAAGGGTCACTTTCTGATCTGTCCTGCTGGACTCACTGTACAACATTCAACACGTTGTCCACATTATTATATCACAGAGAATTGGGTTCCTCAAATCACAGTGACTTCACTGTATGCCATGTCCAATACCTTCGACGTAGCATTTTTACTAATGGTTTACCCATTTTAAAAGTTAATTTTACACTGTTTGTTTTAATGAACTAAGATTGTAAATGCATTGATGAATAAACTTTCATATCGCTTTGAATTGGCCCAAAGTTAACCCCAGGTGAACATTCGAAAAAGGAATTGTTTTAATTTAGATCCGATCTTTAAAACATTTGAACATGCGTCAGAACAACCGAAACCAGCGATTAAACAACAGGGTCTCGAGCAACTTTATTTTAAAAACAAACTTTAAAAAAAATGTCAATGATCGCAAAATACAAGATAAATATTATTAAATGAAATAAATAATTTGGAAAATGAGGGTTATTATGTTGTGAACTAGTGCTAATTGTAACGGGGACCGTTACAGATGTTCCCCAAACGCTCCCCAACTCCCTTTTATAGTCATATTCCCTGTAAGTGTAATTAAATAAGACAAACTTTTTGCATTTGAGACTTTAACAACGTTTACCAAGAAGTGTACCATGTTCATTCAAATTTTATCATTGCACACTTGCGCATGTTAATGCATGTGCGTAATGACCATATCATATTCTCTACACAATCTATATATTTTAATATGCTAAATTTTAATGTATTTAATCCAAAAGTATAAAAAAAAAAAACGCTCATTCAAGTGTATTTTTGATTTTACCCATTTCACGTGCACGCACGTGCATACATGAGCATGGTGACCATACCTTCTTGTAGAAGTCCATTACATCTATCTGTTCTAAATCCAACCCCGTTTGATTGAAAACCAAGGAAGTTATAGCTGTTTAAAGTTTCAGCCAATCAGATTGCAGCGCACGTACATGCACGTGTATGTATGTGCAGGGTGACCATACCTTCTTATAGAAGTCCATTATATATATCTTTGTTCCAAATTCCAACCTGTTTGGTTGAAAACCAAGGGAGTTATAGCTGTTTAAAGTTTCAGCAAATCAGATTGCAGCATTCCTACACGCACGTGTATGCATGTGCATGGTGACCATACCTTGTTGTAGAAGTCCATTATATATATCTATCTTCCAAATCCAATCCTGTTTGGTTGAAAACCAAGGGAGTTATAGCTATTCAAAATTTCAGCCAATCAGATTGCAGCGCACGTGCATGCACGTGATTTCATGATAATTGCTATAATTCATTTTGTAGGATATCCGAATGCATGGCTATGTTCAAAATTTCAAAGGATTTCGTCAAAAAACAAGAAAGATATTGAGACTTTAGTTTCAGCCAATCAGAGCGTAGCGCACGTGCACACGCGTGAGATCTTGCCATATTGACCACGCCATCTTGTTTATACTACTAATACATCCTTACATTATGAGTTTCAAAACATTTCATTAAAAAATAGAAAAGTTACGGCAATATCCATTATATTGGTCATTCACGTGTTGCACGTGCGCGCTCTTGCAAGCACGTGCGCGCAAAATGACCTTCATTCCGCAAATCTACATTACATGTCTACTGACCCTAAAAACATTTCACCTTAGCTGGATGTGTAGTTTACGAGATCATTCGCGGACAAAAAAGTGCCCAGGAAGAAGAAAAATAATAATAACTAGAGGAGATCTCGTTGCAAGCAACGAGTAGGTCTTCCGTTCGATTTTTGATACGATCATAAAACAACTTAAAATGAAAAAAAATTCATATCAATTCCTCTAAATACGTGAGAACACATTTAAGAGTGAAATCTGTAAATTTCAGACAACTTCCGGTCTTTATAATTCACTTCCGGTGTGACCGGAAGTACTAAAAATGACCTATAACTCCTCTCTGAGTGTAAAGGAATCATCCCTGATAATTTCGATGAAAAATGCTCATTTTTTGGACTACTTCCGGTTTGGAAAAAATAACTTCCGGTGGACATAATAATACTCGAGACACTCTATTTGCCTATATAAGAAACATTTAAAAAAGAAAAAAATAAAATTTTGCATATTTTTTAACTACTTCCGGTGGACAACGGACGTGACGGCAACAAAAACTTTATACAAAATTCAAGAGAGCCTGTCACAATCTATCATCCCTGAAAGTTTCAAGACTCAATCTCTAACCGTTTTTGAGAACACTTCCGGACAAAATGACACTTAAAAAAAAAAGAAGAAAATTGGCGTACCTCGCGACCGGAAGTGACGAAAAAATACCACAAAAAAACGCCCTAAGTTCATATGATTTGCCATCATTGCTGAAAGTTTCATGAAAATCTGTCGAGGCGTTCTCGAGAAATCGCCTGCACAAAATCGGTAAGAAAAAAAAAATAATAATAATAATAGTGGAAAAGAAACAAACGAATCAGTAGAAGGTCTTCCGTTGGAGACGGAAGACCTTAATAAGAAACAGAGTAAAAACAATATGTTCCCCAACTTCGTTTGGGGAACATAACAATCAAGAAACAATGGAAAATATTATATCACATTTAACCTTTGGTTGTATTGATTATTGTGACATAAAACGATGCTCCGAAATTTTTATTTATAACTTTTACGTGGAATTTTTCGTAGTGAACTGCAGGTGCGGATCTCGAAAATTTTCCAAGGGGGGGGGGGGGGGGGGGTTGAAGGGGGGAGTTGGAAGAGAAAAAGAGTTATTATAACGGACAATTTACATTAGCATGTACATGTGTAGTTAGATAACTCGATAGGATACTAGGTGGAGTATGGTTTTAAAAATGGGAGGTTGATCAACCTGGGAAAAAATACTTATATGGACTACATGAAAGTTTTCGAAAAAGAAAGAAAAATAAGTCTCAGAACCCAAAAATCCTATTTTGTAAAGGGGTTGGGGTGTTTCATTTTGTTTTGAAAACCGAATTTCTTTATAAATTACAGTTTTAACCTTTCACTGAACATTTCCTAAAGTAAAACACAACAAAATTTTGGGACTTTTTTCTTTTTCTCTCTTTTTTGCAAATCCAAGGGGTGTGTGGGGTGTTGCAATCCCCGTAACCCCCTCCCCCTCTGGATCCGCCACTGGTGAACTGCAATAATTATCCGCCCTGGTTCTTCTGGGATCAGTGTTTTCGTCCAAAATCCGTATTTTTTCTGGATTTGTTATCGAAAGACTGATTGATTGATTGGTTGTTGTTTTAAGTCACATCTACGCATGTTCACTCATATAGAGGCGTCACCATAAATCAGTGAAAGTTTTTAAAAAAAAAAATGACCAAAGCACATCATTATAGATTTTAATGCTTATGAAATGATCATGTTATGATTCCATCATTACTTTAATGTCCGAATGCCAAAACAAACATGTATATTACAGCACAGTATATTCACACAGTTTAATAAACATGTATATGTTTGTTATTTTCTGTATTCCACGAGGTTGATCCATCGCACTAAATTAATTAATAATATATTATTTCTTGACAAAAAAGAAGGTCATGTCATTTTGTGGATGTCTTTTTTTTGTGGTTAATCGGTTTGAAAAAAATATGAAAAATTTCTAACGAAGGTCGTGTTTTCGAAGTCAGGCGCCAATTCTGGGTTTTAACCACTGTGATTTAAATTATACTCTTGCTGCAATTTAGTAAACTATTCAAGAGAAAGCAACAACCCTTTTCGTCTGAAAAGTTAACAAGAGTAAGAGAATAATTTACACCGTAAGTGCATCAAAAAATGTTCGTAGCTGCTCAAAGATTTTCAATTCACTGCATTTATTTTAAAAATGTATAACAGAAAATGGCAAAATTATTTTTCTTGTTTGTACATGTAAGCATAAGTAAGAAACAAAAATGTATTTTGTATAACGTAATTATTTTATTTTTGTAATTAAAAAAAGAGCCTTAAAGTAGGTGTTTTGTTCCTTTTGACAAACTCTTCTTTTTCCATTGTGTCTCTGAAAGTTTACAAGTGCAAAAAGACACTTCATACTTTATGTTTTAAGATACGGAAAAACATTATGCACTCTTGTACGTACTTCCTCAAACATCGAACAGAACAAAGTCATTTGATTTTTCTTCTATTACAGACTTTAAGAAATACAGAAAATAGTGATTGGAAATATCTAACGATGGAAAAGAGATTTTATCGATTTCTTATTGCTATAATGCTTATGGCAAGTATGTCTTTCAACTGTCAAGCATTACTGGAATCTCCTGTGAAGAAGAAAAATGTGCTTAATATAAGACTTAAGGAACAATGTCAGGACCTCGTAAAAGATTCCGTGACCGAAGACATTTTAAAGATCAGAAAAGAACTCAAGAAAAACTTAGAGGACCTACGACTCGATGTGATGCGGCGAGATGTGGAACTGTATGAAGAAATATATAATGTACACGAAAATTTGACCGGAAATGATACCACAAAAGAAAAGCAGACGACAAGCCTAGATGATGGAGAAAGAACAGTTTGGTTAAAGAAATTCGAATACTTAGAGGCAGGAATAAAAAAGGCGTCCCAAGAAAGTATGAACAATGCTGATACACTCCAAGAAAATTTGGAGAGATTAGACAGAGAGAACAGGAAAATATCATCTCGGATGGAGACATTGGAAATTACTCTTATGAAAGTGGCATCGCAATCATCATTCAACCTGAATGATTCGGAAGGACTGATTTTCACAAACTACCTGCGAAAACTCCACCGTGTAGACGATAGACTAAACGATATTAATGATACAATGCAGGATGTTGGTAACTCAACTACAGATATGCAGAAGGCCATGGGGACCTTTCAATCAGAAGTAATGTCGCTAAAAAGCTCTGTTAACGCGCTCAGCCGTCATATTAATTCAACTTTAGATGATACGACCAGAGCAATAGAAGATCTTTCAAACTTGAGCGAGAATGTTCAGCTTAACAGGACCAAGGTTTTAAATGAAAATGAACAATATTTTTCAAAAGAGTTATTGAAATTGATGAGGATTGTCTCTGAAGTAAGCAACCTGAGTAATTCGAATTTAAATTCTCTTCAGGACCTTTCATCTCAAGAAAAACAATTCGAGGTGCAAGTAAATCACTCAAAACAAGATCTTAAGAATGAAATGACAGTCAGAAAAAACCAGTTCAATATTACAGTAACTTTTTTGGAAGATCTGAAGGATAAGCAATTAGAAATATCAGATGATTTAATGAATATCAACTTGAGGATTTCTATTTCTGATGCTTGGAATGTCACAAAAGAAGAACTAGGAATTCTGAACAATTCTTTCTATGAAAAGTTGACTGAATTTAACACGCAAGTTCAGTTAGTTTTCAAGGAGAATTCAATTCAGAGTGAGCAACTAAACAGCATAACAGCCAGTGTGAACGATCTTCGACGTAAAATACATGTACATTATAATGGTAATATTTTGATTTTATGTGTTTTTTAACTTCTGTAATAACTGTACTTTTTTCGACAAAGACTACTCAAGTCCACAATTGTATTTGAAGAAAAAACAATTATTATTGTATGAATGAAAATTGTGTTCACTCGGTAGAAATTTGTTTAGATTGAGATAATCAGAGATAACAGGATCGAATATGATATATTCCCTTAGGGCTAGCGTTGTACACATTGCCAAAATTTATAAAGACAGTTATATTTGCATAATTAAAAAAAGAAATCCAGAATTGTTGCTTAAACACATTATCATAATTCTTAGATTTCGATCTTGATGTTTCTTTATTTTCATAATTTAGTGTATGTTCGGTTGGTTGGAGGAACTTCCGCTAGCGAGGGACGAGTAGAAGTTTACCACTATAAATGGGGCACGATCTGTGATGATAACTGGGACAACTCTGACGCTAGAGTTGTTTGTAGAATGCTGGGATACTCGGGGTAAGTCCTCAAGTCATAAGAAATGCTTACACTAATAAGATAAATATTTATTCAAACTTCATACTAGAGAATTTTATAAACATGAACCATCACGTTTTCATTATGAAGATATGCTACATTGTATATATTAATTTAAGGAAGTTTTGAAAAGTTCCGATATTGTTGAAATAAAACAAATTTGCACTTTTGAAAAAAATAATTGTTTTTACTTCAAATGCATATTAAGGTCAAGATTTAGTAAATAACTTGAGACTCATATTTTGGTGCTAGATCCATTATGAAGTCATAATCAATTTCAGCTTTCTTTTTCCCGTACTTTACGGCTTTAGTAGAATTATGTAGAAAATAGGGTATTTTCATGTCATTTAATTTGAAATCATATGAAAAGTAAACCGGATTCCTATATTAAATTTGATATTGATTTAAAGAAGAGGCCATGAACATACTAATTACCGTATATTAGTTTATAGAGATATAAACAGTGTTAAAGTTTTGAAGCTTCAGTTTTCCGAGGATCCTCTCTGTAAGTTGATATTTATTCCTTTTTTACTCCTTAGATCTTACACTGCCTACGGAAGCGCTCATTATGGAGAAGGAACAGGACAGATCTGGTTGGACGATGTCAGCTGCTCAGGATCAGAGTCCTCACTAATTCAATGTATTCACCCGGAGTGGGGGGTTCACAACTGTCGTCATCACGAAGACGCATCCGTCAAGTGCACTTAGACACCAAGAAGATCTTTGGATTTTTTACAACGAATGGGGGAAAGTTTATATTTCAATCTGAACTAGTTAGTCGTTTCTTTCAATTTAATTTACGTGAAAAAAGACACTATACTCATAAGACAGAAGTGACTTCTTCCTAGGACTTTGTGTGTTCATGCGGTGTGGTTGCATAAATTGAATCTGATGTTACATGTTCTGCATTATTTCCATTTCACCAAAACACGAATAATCCCATAAGTTTAAATCACTGGTGGATTGTTTCTGAACACCCAAAAATTATATAGAACATTTTATTGTTTATTTTCGTGCTTGAGAGGACACAATAAAATTATATCCAGTATGAAAAATTATTTTTATTGAACTTAAAACAGATGTGGTACTGTATAGTTCTTTTTCACGTTGTTTTTTTTAAGCTTACTAGTAAATCCGTTTTATATCTTTTGTGAAAATATACCATTTTACAAAAAAAGTTATTGAAGATTAATAAACTATTGATTTGTTTGTAAAGAGATAATTATATGTAATATGGACACACATTATCGAACTACCTGTATTGTGAAGATGTACCTTGGCAGTAAAATTCAAATTTAGAGCAGATCAAACACTGACCGTAATTAAACATCAGAGGTGGGGATCAGGTACTATGGAGGAGTAAGCATCCGCAATATGCTCCTTGTTATCATTGGGCAAACGGGAAAATCCGTAAAAATTTTGATCTGATTGTATAGCCAGAGAGTGAATAAAATGGTGATGTATTAATGACTCTTCTCAGACCAGTCTAATTTATTCTTGATTCAATTATGCATGATAGTATAAAGAATGTATGTTATTGTGAATTTGGGTTGCTCTACACCCCAATGCATTAATTTTGTATAATTTTAGTATTGTGCAATTCAAATAATTTATTTAAGTCTTTAAAAAGATTTCCAACTGGTTTATCATAATAAAAATAATAATAATTTATGACACACGACAAACGATAAAATAGGATTAGTGAAAATGTATTTCAATCTTAATATTTATTCTATTTAATGTTCCAAGGAAAATAGGTGTCACTTGTAAACTTTAAAGCATTATCAAAGAATGAAATACATATAAATCTAAAAGAGGTTAGATTATAATGTCCTACAAGCATAAGATTAATGAAAGGAATCCATAAATAGTCAGAGTACTAGAATAGCATTTAACGTATAAACTCTGAAAATTAAATAAAAGCAGTACCTTTCGATTCTTCGAAGCTATTGGGTATGATAAAATTGAAAAAAATATTTTTCATTCAACCAATGGTGTTTTATTCAACTGTCCCACATTTGGCATACCGACCCCGATTTATCTTCAAACAATTTATATTTTAAACTGTGTCGTAACTTTAGCTTAAGTTTCGATCAAAGTTTAGTGTCATGGGCTCATTTATATTTGATTTAAATACTTATAATCAAAACTATGCTCTCAAAATTAAAGACAAAATTAGATTAACTGTTTTTTGGCAAGGTAGTAAGTTCACTGGTTACGTGAACTGTATTTGTATACCCCCCGATTGAAAAGCGGGAGGTTATATAGTAATCGGTATGTCCGTCCGTCCGTCCGTCTGTCTGTTACGCTTTGGGGTACTAATCTCTTATCCGCAACTCCTCTCATACCACTGAATGGAATTTAATAAAACTTTTTCAGAATCTTTATTACATATTGCCACTGTGCACCTCTTATTTGTCTTTTTGATATGAAACATATTTTTGGTTTACCATGGCAAAACATAGACACTGCCATTTTATACATATGGGAGGCGGGGGTATAATTTAGTGAGCTCATTGCTCACAGTACCTCTAGTTTCGTAATGTTTTGAAGCAAATAATGCGCATGCTTAATAGCATAAACCTATCTCTTAAATATCAAAGATTTACTGTATATATTGATATATCATATGCTAATAAGTAAGTCAAAGGTATAAGTTATAGGACACGAGTTCAATAACCATAAAAGATAAAGGATGTGACAGAAGGACACGCATAAAGGACCCCCCCCTCCCCGATATTCAACATTAGGTCTTATGGGACATCTTTTTTCACAAATTATATTTATTACACTTATTCATCGTGTGTACAATACGAAAAAAATTGTTATCCAAGCAAATAATTGCTCGTAAAAAATACCCCACTACACATTACTAGGGATGATCATCAAAAATTTCGAACCAATTGAATAACTTCCAAAAAATGATATTGGGTTTCAGTGTTGAAAATTTTTCAAAGTAGTCCTCTCCGATTTTAATGCGCATCTGCAACCGTTCTGCCCATGCGCGGATCACGTGATATAGGCGGTCACGTGACATGCTCCTTAGCGTTCTGTCACAGAAGCTTTAAATTTTTTCCGACTCTTCAATGCCTACCATGCAATTTATTCTGTACAAAAAAGCAGTCCATTTGCCAGAAATGGCCAATTTTCAGCAATAGTATGAGTGGATAATGATATCCTTATGCAGAATGAGCATGGTGACAATCAAAACATAAGTCCTCTCTCTTTTGAGCGTCGTTTATTCCATGTGGATAAAGTATTGGTGCCTTCACTTTATCATATTTGATATGTTTAAAGTCTAATGAAAGCAATACTTTAGGCATTTGATAATTATATTATATCTTTTTTTCTAACAGTATGTTGATCTTTCATATCAAATTGCTTAACAGAAGACACGTCTCTTTCCCAAATTTCTTTCACTGGGCAACAGAACAAACATCATTTTTAAACATCTCTCTTCCTTCACTTAAACAATCAATCCAATTAAAGACAAGATTGATGGCAAGTCTTTTGTTTTCATAAACCGTGTACAAATTATTATAAACCTCTGCAAAGGAATTTCCAAGATATACGTTTAACTTTATAGCCGTTTGTCTCTCGAATACGACTGAGTCAACCATTTTTTGTCAGATGAAGAATTTTTAACGCTTTTAATTAAAAACGTTCATAGGAAAATAAATAATAAATTTATTCATTTACAGGAAAGTTTAAATAAAATCAAATTATATGAAAATAATGTGCTTTTCCTATAGATTTGAAATATTTCATTGATGTTGATTTCAAACTACATGCTTTGGAGCTACTCACTGGACTACAAGTTCAACAGAAATGTCCAGGGTCTAAAATGACGTGCAATAATAAGACAATGCCTTTTTTTGAATTGATAAATTATATTGTTTACCCCGTCGACTACAGGAATAATTGAATGTTCATAATGTGCTACTCTAAACGGTCAGATTGAATGTCAGATTAATTCTTTCATTAATTATATATATATATATATATATATATATATATATATATATATATATATATATATATACAAATTAACAAAACATCCTTCATGTTCATTAGTTTAATTATAAGTAGCCTAAGATTTTTTAGTACTCAAATTCAAGTACAAAGAGATAACGATAGGGTATCAGTCAAGCAAGTAACACTATTAGAAACATTACGTCAATTTTTCTGTAGCGCAATGAAAGCGTAACGTCAAACGTCACCAACATCAAGCGTAAAGTCAGGAGCATTTATTGAAGATCATTTTTTATTATGTAGATTTTTTTTCTAAATTGGACAAAGAGAAAAGTACTTTAAAGTAGAAGTACACTTCTCTTCCTTGTGACAAAAGTTATGGTTTCATTTATCCAGTGCGATTTTGAAGTTTACAAGTGCAAAATGAAACTACATACTTTATGAATAAAGATAAAGTAGGGATAAAAAAATATTATATTGCGCTCTTGTTAGTACTTCCTAAACATCGAACAAAGCTACTCTCGTTTTTTGGTCTAACACAGGCTTTCAAGGATACAGAAAACAGCAATTGTGAATATTTTCGATGATGGAAAAGAGACATTCTGGATTTCTTATCGCTTTGATGCTTATAACATGTAAGCTAATTTACTGTCATGCATTCCTTGAATCCCCAGTGAAGAAGAAATATGTGCCTAATACAAGATTTAAGGAAGAAATTCTGAAACTTGCGAAAGATTCCGTGACCGAGGGCATTTTAAAGGTCAGTAAAGAGCTCAAGAAAAACTTAGAGGACCTACGACTCGATATGATGCGGCGAGATGTGGAATTGTATGAGGAAATATATAATATAAAGGAAAATTTGACCGGAAATGATACCGCTAAAGAAAAGCAGACGACAAGTCTAGATGACGGAGAAAGAAAAGTTTGGTTAAAGAAATTCGAATACTTAGAAGCAGGAGTTAAAAAGGCGTCCCAAGAAAGTAAAAACAATGCTGATACACTCCAAGAAAATTTTGAAAGATTAGACAGAGAAAACAAGAGGATATTATATCGGATGGATACAACTGAAATAACCCTTATGAAAGTGGCATCGCAATCATTGGTCAACTTGAATGATTCGGAAGGACTGATTTTCACAAACTATCTGCGAAAACTCCACCGTGTAGATGATAGACTAAACGATATTAATGATACAATGCAGGATGTTTGTAATTCAACTACAGAAATGCAGAAGGTCATTGGGACCTTTCAATCAGAAGTAATGGCGCTGGAAAGCTCTGTTGACGCCCTCAACATTCGTTTTAATTCAACTTTAGATGATAAGACTAGAGCAATAGAAGATCTTGCAGACTTCAGCGAGAATATTCAGCTAAACTTGACCAAGGTTTTAAATGAAAATGCACAGTATTTTTCAAAAGAGTTATTGAAATTGACCAGGAACGTCTCTGAAGTAAACAAACAGACCAACTTGAATTCAAAATCTCTTCAGGACCTCTCATCTGAAGAAAAAAAGCTCGCGTTCCAAATCAAGCAATTATTTCAAGATAAAGGAGATCTAGAGAATAAACTGAATGTCTTGAAAAACCATTTCAATATAACAGTTACGAATTTTGAAGATATGAAAGATAATCAGAAAGAAATATCAAATGATTTAATGAACAGCGTGTTTCAGATTTCTGCACTCTCTGCGGCTTTGAATACCACAAACGAAGGTTTAGGAAGTCTTAACAATTCTTTTTCTGAAAAGTGGACTGATTTCAAAGAGCAAGCTCAATTATTTTGCAAAGAGAGTTTAAATCAGACCGAGCAATTGAACAACATAACAGCCACTGTAGATGACCTTCAAATTAAAGTACATACAATAGGTAATATTTCGAATGTATCGTACATTTATGTTTTATATTCAGTCCTCTTGCGTTTTAAACAACATAGATTGAGAGAATATTTGTGGTCACATGTTGGAAAGGTTGTTTTGGTTGAGATAATCACAGACAAAATTACTGGTAAACATACATGGGTTGGGCTGCATCCTCTATAAGCTAGATGTATTAATATTCTTCTAGAAACATCAACTCGAACATTCTTTATCTTAATGCATGATACCTGTATGCGTCTTTATTTCACACTATAAATTGATGTTTTCTGTGATTCAAGGAAATACAGAGGAGTTGAGGCTGACTTTTCAGAATCTGCAAGATGTGTTGCTTTCATTAAAAAACGTGACAGGTAAGATATTGGCGCAAAATTAACAAAAAAAGAAAACGGTTAAATTTGTGCTTTAAAAGCTATAAAAAATACCCCCTTTTTGATTGGATGACTCTATCACACTATTAAAAGTACAAAAATATAGGCCCTCTATATTTTTTTTTCATTTCAATACATGAACTAATGAGCTTACATACACTTCTAGCAAATATGAATTAAAGATCCGTAACTGCACGAACTGAAACATTTCTTAGTAAAATTCATTTTTCATTGATTATGTAGTAAATATTTGCTAAAAGCCCTTAAATTATTTTAGTTGATCAACAAGCGCTGTCATTATTTTAGTTGATCAACAAGCGCTGTCAGGAACCCAACAAAACCTGATTTCGTCCTTGATGAAGAACGTCTCTGACCACGAGCAAAGATTAACAAACATGTCTGCCGAACTGAATTCAAACACGATTAGTATAATCTCTATACAAGGTGATATAACAACATTAATAAATGTGAACAGAGATCAAAACAGATCAATCTCCGAAAGAAATCTAGAGAGGACCCAACGACCTACGGAACAATGTAAGAAAGCACTTCTGTATTACATAACTGATATACACGTAGTAGTCTTTTTATATTTTTAATGTATTTTCTAAGTGCGTGTTCGGTTGGTTGGAGGAAGCTCTGCCAGTGAAGGACGAGTGGAGGTTTATTACAATAACACCTGGGGGACAATCTGTGATGACAACTGGGAGAGCTCTGACGCTAGAGTTGTTTGTAGAATGCTTGGGTACACAAGGTTAGCCACGGCTATGTATATAATAGTCTTCTTTTGTATAAACTTTAATCTTAGAATGAGAATGAATCACTAATTCTAAAATCTTGAAATTAACTCAATATTTTTAGTTTCCTACGTATGAGAGAGAGAGAGAGAGAGTATAACCTAATTAAATAAATGATGGAAACCGAGTTAAAAGAGATGATATATAAACATCTTTGTCTTTTTCTTATAAGTTATACCACAAGTTTTACCACTTAGTTACCATTTAAATGTACACTAATACTATATTGCATTTTTATTTATTTCTTTAGGACTTATACTGGATTTGAACAAGCTCGTTACGGACAAGGTTTAGGACCGATCTGGTTGGACGAGGTCGGCTGCTCAGGATCAGAGTCCACAATATTTTCCTGTAGTCACGGTGGATGGGGAGTTCACGACTGTTCTCATGGCGAAGACGCATCTGTTGTGTGCTCTTGAATCACGATGAAACCCGGTTATCGATTGAAAAGATAACTAAACTGGAAATATGAATATAATATATTTGCCTTATTTAAATTAGCCATAATAGCAATGATTCCCAGAGCTTTTATAAAGAGATTGAACATGTTTCTTATTTTTTCAGTATCGTTTGACTGATTCAGTTTGCTGATGCGGATCGATCTTTGTGTAAGAAAATCGTTATCGCACATATTTCTACAAATGGCATGCAAAGACATCTGGATAGAATATTATGATATTAAAATCCGAGTGATGGAATGGATTGAATGGAAAATCCCTTTGAATATTAAAAAAAAAATAAAAAATGACGATGATACTTTTTGCAGAAGACAAGCTATAAATACAGAATCAATTTTCAAAATAGGAATATTGGGCTTTCTTTTACAAAGCATGGTAATATTTCAACGTTTCCTATGATCTTACAATTATTTTCCTTCAACACGTTTTATTTAAAACGTGTCAACCCAAGACAACATAAGACCCCTGTATCTTATAGTTTAAAAATGTGTATTTCTTGAATTTTATAAATAATAATTAACTTTGGTTGGCTCTGTTGAACAAAATTTTACTTTATCTCAAAGGAAATGCAAATGACGCCATTTGGTGACATTAAAAACCTAACTATACAAAAGATCATAATAAAACGAGATAATGAGCATATCACATTTTAGAAAAAAAACATTTGAAGAAACAGACAATGAGTATATCAAAATGATATCATGAAATACCGAAAATAAGCATTTTTATTGGCATTTTATACTTTAAACATCTACATCAATTTGATGTGAAGACACTGAAGTGAAAAGGGGTGGCTTCAAAGGATTTAAAAAAAAAAACACTTTAAAGAAAATTTACATTGTTGCCTCTGTCACGTATTGCGCCTCCTCGAGCCTTGCTACGTTTGTTAGTCTAAAGCATCTGAAACAAGCATTCGATTCTAAGTCTGAAGGAAGAACTTCATTAATGAATGGGGAACCATACTGCAGTGCACGGTTTAGAGACGAGCCAGTTTTATATCTTTTCCTTCTTTTGGGATCATTCACACATTTTTTTTATTATATTATGTCAATATAGATTCGACCCACACGAACATTGGTTGGTACTTTGAATCTGACACAATGTGCTATAATACTTTTTTGTTGGTTCTATACTTTTTGCACACGCAAGCATACTAAATAAAACTTTATGCAAATTAGACTAAGAAGCTTTTTCATAAAGAAACATGCGTATTTTTCTGGTATCTATTGAAAACATTATTACATGTAACCAGGAAGGGGAAAGACGATTCGGCCATGTACAGACTTGTGTCAATTCTGACTTTTCCAAACGCCATTTTCAAAATATTTGATATATTCCCTGTATTTCTGTGAGAAGAAGTTTCAGACTTTTTAAAATATGATCGAAATTTCGCCTTTTTACACTGCTTTTTTGTTTTCATATCAAATAAAATATTTTCAATGAAAGAAATTTCCTCACCTCAAGATGCGTTATTATTCTGAATAAAATATATTACTCCAATTATCATCAGTCCCCATTAACCTTGATGCTCTTCATAATCGAGTAGAGCCTCTTAAAATATGGTCATCACCTCAATTATGTCTAGGTTGTCTTAGACCTTTGCACTTCTCATCATAGACACTTAGCTCTAGTACAAGTATACATGTATGAATCTTGACAGAAAGTTTACAGTGTTCATGTGACAAAAGTACAAACATAAATCAATGTCATATTTATTTTCATATTCTCTTCATCTCACTGAAACCAGATAAAATACAGCAACAAGAGGCCAATGGGCTATATTGATTATTTTAGCACATTGGCAAGAGGAAAAAAACACAAATTAGTCAATATTGAAAAAAATAAATATTTAAGTGATCGGACCCCCCCCCCCATGGGAAAGGATGGGGCCATTCACACTTGAATTTTAAACTATTTGTTGATGCTTCCATATTTTTTATTAATCATGATTATGGCATTTTCGGGGTTATTACGTCACAAAATTACAAAGTAAAGTCACAATATGTGTATATTTTTCTGATCTGAAACTCATTAATTTTCACTAAAGGGTTAAAATTTCATTAAATTAAACGGGTGTCAGAACTTTTCAATTTCTCCTCGTATATTCCATATATTCCAATGTAAAACTTTGATCACCAACTGTGGGGCCACTCTAGTCCTGGGGTTATGAATTGAAAAAAAAAATTAACATTACTTTAATGCTCTTTCATATAAATAAAAATAATCATTGCAGTGTTGTTCTTGAGAAGAGGAATAATTTTTCCAGAAAAATGTATACCTGTTTGAAAATTTGATCTCCCCCAGGTGTCATGATTTACATAAACTTGAATTTACCTGAGGATGAGTGAAATATATGGATATAACGAACAGTATTCAAGCTCAAAAGTCCATTAAACAATATTGAATAGGAGCAGAGCAAGCATGGGCTTCCAAAATATTAGAGGTGGGATCGGCGCCATGGAGGAATGAGCATTCCATGCCGACAGCTCACACCCGCCGTGTGCTCCTTGTCAGAATCAAGAAAATAACAGGAAAAACTCCTATCGACATAATAATGCAAATAACCATTGTTGAAACCATTGAAAAACGTTGTTTTATATCTAAATAGCGAGTTGAAGGCGAAGTAAGCGTTTTCATCTTTTCTCCTATAGGATTTTGGACAAATTCTACATTATATGAATAAAAAAAAATATAGGTCTGCTAATAACGGGGCACAATTGGTAAACAAGGGAATTGAAATACCGTGGTCTGTTGGAAGACCTTTTCTCCAAAAACCACATCCGAAACTCAAGTTGATGTCACTTCAGAGTACTTGTGTGTACAATTAGAACGTTTTTTACCAAGATAAGTAGGCAAATGACCAATTACAAGGTAAGTAATTTTAAGAGTTCCATTTTTATTGAAAAAGCAACTGCAAATAATGTAAAAAAAGAAAAAAAGAAAAGGAGCCTGGACTTTGATTTATCGTATGGATTGGTTGTGTATAAAGTTGAAAAGTGCTAAGTGTTTTGGCTGTTGACTTTGGAAAATCTTGTGATTTCAATTTTTCAAGAAGTTCTTTGGAATTTGTTAGTATCCACAGCTGATTTACACCACTTTCAAGTATATTGATACGCAGAACTCTTAAAGTTTCTCCTTCACTACTGTTAATATTTTTATGAGGAGTAGAGAGAGAGAGAGAGAGAGAGAGAGACTTGGTTGTATATTTACTGAAACCCTCTATATATGTATCTTTGTTTGTTAGGATTTTTGTGAAGTTTTGGATTCCAATATAGATATGGTAATTAAAATTCATTTTGGTTGTTCGAAATATTAAAAAATATTCAAAACTGACAAATGATTTTGAAGAATTTCTTCTTAGAAAGAGAACTATGAGTTGGATTACCACTTGTAGAATTAAATCCAAGTTCTTCCAAAATACTGTTTACATAATGAGCCCTACAAAGACAATATTGTTTCCTGCTTTGTCAGAAGGGACCAATACGTATTGTCCATGTACATTATCTTAGGAAGCTTTTCTATCAATTTTTTTTAAAGAAAATCTTTAATTAACCCCATCCAATTTTGAATTTTTTCTCAATATTTTTGATATTCTCCCTTTGGAAGAGGATGGGGCCCTTCATTAGAGCAAATTTGAATCCTCTTTACCTTAAGATATACTCTGTGCATTTTTGCTTTTGCGGAAAAAGATCAAGTTACAAAACGTTTACGACGACATACAGTAGGCAAATTTTGATCAGGAAAGATCACTTGAGCATCAATATGGCTCAGGTGAGCTAAATATCTGTAAGTTATTTGTTTCACATTTTTTCCCATAAGTTCCTCATTTTTATAAAGAATGGCAAATTAATTTCGCCTTGCTACTGAAAAATATGCTGTTTTGTACTTTGTAATTCTGAATGTATGTTTTCTTCATAGATTTTCGGGGATTTCTACAAAATCATAGAGTTGATTAGTTCTTACTAACAAGGTATTCTTCCTAATATTCATTTCATTTACCAACTCGTCTCCTGATATGTACCCTTCATTATTCCATGAATCGCGAAAAATTAACGTGTGGGTTTTCTTGATATACATATATTCAAGGCACTTTCTTACGGAAATCTACTACTCTAGAAATCTTGTTTGACTCCTAAGTATGACATTTGCACTACCCACACTTAATAATTTATTTGTTTCTGTAAGGAGGGGAGTGCTTTTTAATTCTCATTTATATATTTTTCACGTAAACAATATCTAGAACAATTCTGTCATGGGTCAAGTGTACACTCATCTTACATCTACGGAATTCATGTACATGAACTTCGTTGTATTGGTTTTGGATAGGGTGTTTCACAATGTAATTTACTGCTGACAGTAACGGATAAAAGATCAACACCATGGATAAAATAAATGTATATCAGATAATTTTCTTGAATAATATTCTAAGCACACTTGTGACTTGTCAAGTGATATATACATTACCATTGCAAAATCGGAATGTAATTGACTCTACCATTGACAAACAAATAAATACAGCAAGGGATTTCATGGTTGAAGGTTTGTCAAACTTTGGAAACGATGTCAACAGGAAACTTGATGATTTACGGATTGATATGAAGCATCGAGATATGGAAATCTCGGAGGAAATCAACAAATTAAAACAATTGTTAATGCCACACGGATTTGCCCAGGACGCCCAATCACGAAACGGAGACAATATACATCAGAGTGATGACGAATTGTCATCGAGATTGGCGTCATTAGAGGCAGGAATAAAACGAGTGTCCAAAGAGAGTAAAAGCGAAGTTAGAGATCTCAGGCGGAAAAATAAGATTCTAGAAAATGAGAATAGAATGTTGTCGTCACGTCTTGATGCAACACAAGCAATTCTCATGTTAATGTCGGAAAAAAAATTCCTCAATATAAATGAGTCGGATGATTTTGATAATTTGAACCTTGTTCAGAAGATTAACACCATGGAAGACAAGCTGAATTATCTTAATGACTCTATTCAGGAAAAAAGTAACTCAAATGATGAAGCTGATGAGTTAAACATATTAAAAAATGAACTTCAATCTGTAAAATTGAATCTGTCCGAAGTAAAAAACGATTTCGACCAATCAAAGACTTTCAGTGAAATTCAAAGTCGGCAGATTGCAGAGGTTCGAGAGTGCCAAACTATTTTTCAGGACACTTTGAACATTCTTGAAAAAAATACCTCCATCATTTGGACGTATACAAGTAATCTAAGCCGAGAACTTCAGGAACTGGGGGATACGAAAGCTAACGTTTCCATCATTGAAGGTATTACGCTGGTTATTGGAGAAAAATTTCAGAGGTTACAAGACGACTTTTCAGTCCTAACAGTCGTGTCGAACAATCTCTCCTTTCAAGTTAATTCAACTGAAGAACAAATAAAAGATCTCTTAAGGGTTTCAGGAGCTAATAACATATCTCAAATAATTCTGGAAAGAAACCTTAAAGAAGAAATTGACGTTTTACGAAAAAATATATCCTCTATAGTTATGTCTAGTCAACTGGAATCAAATGAAAGAACAAATCTTCGACATATTAACGAGCAACGTTTTTCGAACATCACCTATGTAATGGAGAATATTCAAACCCAGATGAATTCTACAGGTATGATTTTTAAAATAATTCTCATTTTTAGACATAATATAACGAAACATACATTTTTGAGATTCATCTTGAAATGGTAGTTTTAAGTTACCATTCAAATTAATGAAAATGTGTTCCAATTTTTTTTCTTCTATCTTGTTTAAAAGACAATCAATAAATTATAGACTTTCAAATAAGGTTAGTATTGCTCATATGTTTTAAGTTGTAAAGATCGTACACGACAATTTAGGACGACGTATGTATGTTTCAGATCCAGGAAATGACACATTTAAGTTAGTATTCAAATAAAACAAATCCTTTTACATTTTTCGGAATTGAAACAAGAACTACTTTGGCTCACATATATTTGCAACACCGAAATATTCATCGGATCTTTTTAGCGAGATAAAGATTTCACGTATTGTGGTTAATGCTCTATATAATCTTTGGGACTTTATTAAGGCGAGATAGAAATTTTTGCAAGCACATTGTCTCACGTAATTACGCAAAAATAAAATCTTCGCGAATAAGAAATAGTATACCGTATTTTTTTCTTTACCTTTATTTTTTTTTTTTTTACATTTTTTTCTTTATTATTATTATTTTTTTTTTTTTACAATTTTCAGATTTTTGTTTTGAAATACATGTCATGAAATTATCTTTCTGCAAAATTAAAGAATTTGAATCAGGGAACATTTCAAAGATTATGCAAATTGTCTTATTATCTTAATGAGAAAACCACATGTTTCAATTTATTTACATATAATTATATACATGTAAGCAGTCTTTTTTTATAACTTGTATAGTTCAACAACTAACGATACTTGAAGCAGAGAAAGAACGTGTTTCGATTTTGATCGAGAACGTCACTGATCACAAAAGCAGTCTTCAGGATGTTGTCAACGGAATGCAATCAAACAGCAGAACTATTTCTGACATCCAGAGCAATATTACAGCTTTAACGAAAATAACTGAGGTCCTAAATAGGTCATTATCGCAACAAATGTCAGAGGAGACCCAACAAAAAAGTAAGCTAAAGCAAAATTAATTGTGGAATCATTATAATTTTTGGGAGTCAATGTTCATGGATAACCAAAATTTTGTTAGATCGTGGGGACGTATTTTCGTTGGTACCTCGTAAATTTAGACGGTTTGATGAGTAAATCATATTGACAAAGGTATTGTCCTTGGGGATGTAAATTCAGATATAATTGTGACCCATGAAATTAAATAACATTAGCCCCCACCATCACCACCACGAATAACGGTGATCCCACAGTATTCTATTAAAAGTTTTTAGCAGATGTCTTTTCTGACTATACATCATTATGTTTTTCCTTTGAAATGAGTAAAGGTTCTTGATTGCATTCCCTTCTGATTGTTTGCCGACATTATACCTTCAATTTGAAAATTCTTTCCATCATTAAAGGAAACACGTTGATCCTTGGAGTAAAACTTCAGAATCTACAGGACGATTTATCTGCTCTGACAGTCGTGTCGAATAATCTGATGAGTCAGTTCAACTCGACTGAAGATCGAATAGAGGATCTGCAAAGAATATCTAAAGAGAAAAACAATTCTGATATAATTCAGAAACGAAATCTAGCAGAGAAAATTGAATCAATACAACAAAATGTATCCTCTTTAGCCATTTCCGTTCAGTTGGAATCGAATGAAAGAAAAGATCTTCTTAAAATTCAAAAACAACGATATTTGAACATTACGAATGTGATAGAGAGTATTCAATTCCAGATGAATTCTACAGGTATAGATTTTATAATTTTAATTTTTAATGTATTCATGTTATGTAGTATATTTCTAGGTGTGCTCTTTATCCATATGAAGGATAATGCTAATTTAAAAGTTTCCTGTCACATTGTACGAGTACGACTGTATAATAAAAACAAAGATTCTAGAACAGGGATCAAATGAATAAAGTATAAAACAGAAGACTCTTCAGATGAACAGCTAGCTATTATACAAATACTGAACGTCATGCTGTACGGATTATAGTTCGAACAAAATGGGTCTGAGGATTCACAACATTATGTTATTTTTTCCATAGAAAAATGCATAAAGAAGAGAGGTGCTGGGGAAATATTCTTATTCTTCGTCTGAAGAATAACCGAACCCCTGTGAATGTTAGGTCATTGGGCTTCTTGTATAAAATGATTATGTTTTTTGTGAACTTTTATGATATATATTAAAGATTTTTTTTTCAAAATGTAAAATCAAAGGTATCAACGATGATTTCTTTTTTGTTTTACAAAACTTTTGTACTTTGTACTGAAGGTTTTTTCAATCTTTGTTTCCATACCTTCTTTAGTTCATCAACAAATGGCACTTGAAGCAGATAAAGACCATCTTTTATTATTGAAAAAGAACATCACTGATCACGAACAGAGGATTGGGAACATTGTAACCATAGCGCAGTCAAACAGCGACACTTTATCACGTATCCAGAGCAATATAACAGCATTAATGGAAACAACTGGAGCACTGAATAGGTCATTTTCGCGGCTAATTACAGAGAGAAACCAACAACAACGTAAGATTCTTGCATTTGAATATTGCTTTCTTTTTAATTGTAAAAATACAATACTGCTTATGCTCTTCCCTTGTGATGTTTTCCTTTTAATGCTTATCTTCATAATAAAGTGTTCCAAGCCAAGATGATTTTAAATCAACTATGGACATTGTCCATGCATTTAAAGTTGATAGTTTTATAACTATTACCTAATAGATCTAGAAGGCAAAGATAGAACTCGAAAGTCTTAACTGAAGCAAAATATTAAAATGCTCAATTTTGACGTACTCAAGTTATTCAATTTTTATAATTAAGTGCTTGTTCGGTTGGTTGGAGGACGCGCCGCTGGAGAGGGACGAGTGGAGGTTTACCACTCCAATGCGTGGGGAACAATATGCGATGATAATTGGAGCAGCTCTGACGCAAGAGTTGTTTGTAGAATGCTGGGATACTCAGGGTAAGTCTTCAGAAGACAATATTGTTGTTAATAAAATTGTAGATAATTACTACAGAACTAACCAGTCTTATCAAAGTTGATTCCTCGGATTCTTTTTTCTAAGCATCTTTTCTTCTTTTATTTGCCAATCTTTCATTTTCAAACTACAAGTATGTTGAGGCAATATCAGAAGTGACAAGGGATACAGTGTTTAATTCAGAAATGATTTTTAAAAATAATATATGGCTTATGTAAGTCTTAGCTTGAGTTGATGTTCTTTTTTATCCACTTAGATCTTACACTGCCTACTCAAGCGCTCATTTCGGACAAGGTGTAGGACAGATCTGGTTGGACGAGGTTGGCTGCTCAGGATCAGAGTCCACAATATTCTCCTGTAGAAGCAGTGGATGGGGTGTTCATGATTGTTCTCATGGTGAAGATGCATCCGTCAAGTGCACTTAAAATGTCCAATTGTGATAACAATATTGCTATTTTTGCCATCAAATTTAAGAGGTTTCTATGTTTCATTCATATTTACCTGTTCTTCTATTTGTTCGCAGTTTCTTTTCAATTCTGTAAATATTTAGAAATCTGCATTAAATGTGAAGTGCTTGATATGGCACGCCAAATTCACAAAAATGAGCTAAACATTGTTTCACAGTCTGCTAAATCTGCATAAGGTTTATCGGTTGTAACAAAAAACTAAACATAGTTTACGGACTGTAAACTATAGTTAACAACGTTAATCTACATTTTACACCCGTAAACCATAGTTAACGCGATAATCTATGTTTCACAACCGTAAACTATACTTAACACTGAAAACAATAATTTGCGATTGCAAAACATAGATTATCTGATAAATACAGTTTCACGATTTGTAAACTATAGTTTACAAACCGTTAACTATAGTTAACGATCTGATAAATATAGTTTCACGATTTGTGAAACTATGATTAACAACTCTTAACTATAGTTTACGATTGTAAACTATAGTTTACAAACGTGAATCTATGTTTATCAACAAAATCTATTGTTAACGCTTATTACAGACAGATAAACTTAGATTATCATTCGTAAACTATAGTTAACAACCGTTAAATATAGTTTTACAGATGAAAACTATACTTAACGAATCGTTAACTATAGTTTACGGTTTGTAAACTATAGTTTACAGTCGATAAACCTAGTTTGTCAAATGTGAAACTAGGTTTATCTCATTTTTGTGAATTTGGCGTGCCATAGCTTGAGCACATGTACACTTAACGATTATTAGTCCCCTGACAGTTAAACCTGTATATATACATGTACACTTTTTCTATGCCAAGGTGACCTCAACCTGCAGCGATTTGAAATAAATTCAATACAGAGAATTATAATGTTTTTGATTCTGCTACAATGATGTCTTGTTTCTTTTTAGCAACGGGAAGGACGTTGTGTTGGGGTTTTTTTCAGGTTATTTTTTTTTCTTTCTTTGAAATCTTCACATTGTCTTTGTACGGTGAACATATCGGTGTATTTTATTAGGGCTGGGACGATATATCGATAATATCGATTCGGTGTGAGAACGATACGCATATCGATATACGTACATGTATGAGGAAATATCGAAATATCGCAAAAAATATATACTTCATGTTTTCTTTGTTTATTTAACATTTTGGGTTAAATATATTTTTTTAAAATATGCTAAATATAAATATAGATCTGAAATAAATAATAATGAAAGAAAAAGTGAGCAAGCTCACATACCCCACTCTCGGCTAACACTCGAAGTGCTGAAATTGCCACTAAAAATAAAGGAACCCCAATTTCCTGGTGATATGCACATTAAACACACTGTGTCCTAAATATCTGCAAAGTTTGAGCAAATTCTATGCAGCAGTTTAAAAAGAGTCGACTGACGATCTGTTCATCTCTATATTCAATGTATGGCCATGCAAAAATCTAAATTGAAACGTGCGGAAATTCCCAGTAAAATAAAGGAATCTGAATTTCTTGGTAATATGCACATCTACACACTATGTCCTGAATTTATGCTACGTTTAACGAAATTCTGTGCAGCGGTTTAAGAGGAATTGCACTGACAAACTGTTCATCTCTATATTCAAGGTATGACCATAAATCTAAGTTGAAAAGTGTGGAACTTCCCGGGAAAAAACAAAGGAATCGGAATTTCCTAGTAATATGCACATCTACACATTGTGTCCTAAATATATCTGCAAAGTTTGACGAAATTCTGTGCAGCGGTTTAAAAGGAGTTGCGCTGACAAAAAGACAGGACAGACGGACTTTATATACCTCCCGCAATTTGTTGCGTGGGGTATAATTAAGACCTTTTTGTATTAATTTCGGCAAAATGTTTTGCTTATTTTAATGATTAAACATTATTTCATAAATATCGTATCGTGGTTCAAATATCGTGATACATATCGGTATAGAAAAAGTTGTATCGTCCCAGGCCAAGTTTCAAATTATTGGTTTTAATTGGTCTTCTTTATGACCGTTGTTGTGTACTTATTATTTGCATGCATTCCTAAATAATTCTATAATAAGTGAATGCCAGATGATCTAGAGTATTCCGGCCAGCAATAATTTTGTTTTGGTAACGTTTTCAATATAAATTATTATACGATATATATATATATATATATATATATATATATATAATATATATATATATATATATATATATATATAGTGTATTTGTAAGATGCTTCATAGTAAAACTGCTTTGCACTGATCGTTTGTAAGGACACTTGGTCAGAGTTCAGACTGCTGTAAGTGTCCGAAGTTTGAAGGAGAGTCACGGGTTTCTACTTTCTATTCAGCACATATAAAGTATAATGTTCTTAATAAATTTATGAAAATCTAGGACGCGTGTCTATTAAACGCAGAGTATTTAAACAAAACTGGACTGAGCCACAAACAAGTGATCACAAAGGTTAGGATGTAGGCCTATTAAATGTAGTTTCAAAGAGAACATCTCTTTGTAAAACATTGATGTACCTCCACGACAGCTCTTGGCAAAGGTTAAAGTATCTCAAATGAAGTCAAACTCCAATGTCGAGGTCAATAAATGTTAATTTGGTCAAAATTTAGGAAACTTGGGATTTTTAAACAATCTATATGTTAGGCCTCAATTCAAAAAGGTCTTTCTCAATAATTATATTTGTGAAATATGGAAGTCAACACACCAACCATTCAAAAGTTATAGCCAAGATTATAGTTTTTAAAATGTGGGTCAAACTCCTATGTCCATGTCATAAGATCAAATTTATGGTATGCATAAGAAGGTCTTGGAATAAGAAAATACACGTGAAAGAATTAAGCACCAGGACCAACTATTCCAAAGTTATACCCAAGGATGATTTTTCATAAGTACACGTAGGCTTAACTCCAAAATAAAATGGTCGAAAACATTGCTATCCAAACAAAGGTCTTGTCACAATGAATACCTTTGTGAAATGTGAATGCCCCAGTACCAACTATTCAAAGTTAGGTTTAATTTTAAAAAGTGATTCAAAATCCAAAGGTGAAAAAACAGTGAAGAAAATTCTTGCATGCAAAGTATGATTACCCCTAGCATCATTTGTTCAGAAGTTTTTGGTTAAGGTTGAGGTTTGAATTTTTTGCAAAAAATGGGTCAAACCTTAAGGTCAAGGTAAAAAGATAAAATATGTTGGTGTCCAAGATCCGAATGCTATCTATGACCTAAATATCGGAATAATTCAGCAGCGCGTCGCAATGCCGTTTGTTGATTGATTGTACATTGTTTAACGTCCCTCTCGAGATTTTTTTTTAACTCATATGGAGACACCATCACTTGCCAGTAGGGAGCTATAATTTTTTCCTATATTCGACACTTAGGGCCATTAAACAGCACCAACTGCGACACGGGACCTCGGTTTATACGGTCTCATCAGAAGGACCGGTCTCCACGTCCCACAGTGGGATTCGAACCCACGACGCAAGGATCAACTCTTCACTTCGCGACACGAGAGCAGACTCTCTAACCATTGCGCTATGCGGGCGACTGCCGTTTGTTAAAGGTAAGTTATTAACAGAGAATAAATTCTCAGAAATAAATTTGGGGTAGAAAAGAATGTGTCACATAGAATTTTTTAGACAGGAGCAAATTCAAAAGACCTGATTGAACATTTTCTTTGAATAATCTTAATTCCAAATCATTTCCATGTAAAGAAATATTTTACCCCATGGTTAGAAAAATGTTGATTACACTCTTAACGCATTTTAAAGAATCTTTTCAAATTGCGTTGATTTGACCGGCATTTTGAATTTTCTTTCAAAGTGCGATGATTTTGACACAATTGAACGCTTGCACTTGGGGAAAAATTCAAAGTGCGTATTTTTTCAGAGTGCTTACCATACTCGAGTATTTCAAGCACTTGGATGAAATTTCCCCCCATTTTATTGAACCTACGCTGAATGACATATAGTTGGTTATTATGCTATTTGGCGCAGTAAACAACTCTAACTACAATGCTTCGATTTGGAAAATAAGTTTACAGAAATATTATTTTTTAAAATGACAGTTTCTGCATTTAGGCGATGTATTAATCATAGATATGATTAACATTATCCTGTCTTGTATACTTTGACGATTTTTTAATATGATTTTTAAAAAAATCAGATCTCTGACATAGCAAAATACAACGTTGCCGTCTGTCGCCCAAGTTGCAACGGTGTTCCCAGTTGCCAGTAATATGGGTGTGTTCATTTTATACCAAAAATTCTCATTCAGTGAAAGATCAGTAAAAACAACAACTCTGGGCTTTTCGTACACGTATTGCTGTTTAAAGGTCTTTTACATGAAACATATGGAGATAACGAACAGTATTAAAGATCAAAAATCCATAAAACAATACAAAATAGGAGCAGAGCAAACACGGACCTCCAGAACATTGGAGGTGGGATCAGTGCCATGGAGGAGTGAGTATCCCCTGCTGTACATGTAAAGCGATATGTTGTCCGAAAGTTTAGATGAAGGGCAAGTCATGTTGTTGTCCTTTACCATACCACTCTGACATTACCCGTGAGCATTATGTGCCTTCTAAACCACGATTCTACGTCTACCAGAAGACGCATTGTACAAGACATCCGACATTACGTATACATCTATTCGTGGCTAATTGATCTTAAAATTTCTTGCCCAAATAAATATGATATATGAATATGCTCGTGTAATTCATATCTCAATGTAAAAGTTAGTAAAAAGATTTTTCCGTAGAAAGTTATATTTTATAATTTACATATTTTCCGTAAACATAGCTAGATGTTTGAGAAACACAAATGTCTATAAAATTGACCAGTTTTCACTTGATCTTTCCAAATTTACTTTGGTTCCGGGTTTTCTATTAGATTTATTTAGGTTATTTTCGATTTTTGCATACACATTATTTTTTATCTTATTCCCTACAGACTCTGTATTTCCGCTGTTTTCAATAAAGTTCCCCTTTCTTATGTTTTCTCCTGATGTGACGGATGTTAGAAATGACAGAAAAATTGCTTACAATTTTAATTTACTTCCGCTACATCATTTTATCTATCTTAATTTTCTTTTCATCGCCTTTTCTTCCTGAATGTTTTCTCTCTTCCTGATTTTTTCGTGTCAGATATCAAACAAGATTTAAATTTATTCAAATTGTAAACATTTTTTGTTTACATTGATTTGCTATCCGTCATCAGTAAAAAAAATTGTTATGAAAAAATATTTTGCAAACATTATAGCTTGTAAGCTTGCATATAAGCAAAACATTTATTACATTATTACGTTATCTATCTTGGCCGGGGTCATCTCTCTCTCTCTCTCTCTCTCTCTCTCTCTCTCTCTCTCTCTCTCTCTCTCTCTCTCTCATGACACAATGAAAATGATAGAAATTACATGTTAATATTAATGATATAAAAAAAATTAATTACCTCTGTAGCAAGATAAGAATTACAGTAAAAACGTTTTCTTTATGTTTCTAATGAGTTCCCATTTTTAAAATGATTTTATTTTCAATGTATAGGAACGAGCATGAATACCTCCGTGACGTCAAAAATGCATCAATTATTGCAATCCTCTTTATCAAGGAAGAAACGGGGGGGGGGGGAGGGGAGAGAAAAGAGAGTTCAATTACATAATTCGTGGTTAATGATCATATGAATAATGTTAATAAAAGATAAGAGTGAAAATTCATGATGTTCCTGAACTACAACGCTTCATGTCTTCATATTTATCAGGAAGATACATAAATAACACCAAGAATTTTTTAATTACATAATTATATGCACAACTAGTATTTAACAGAAAATTTCCAGTCGTATTCATAATACCGAATATGCAAATTAACGATAAAAACTTATTTTCAAAGTTAAATTTATGTTTATAATAATCTTTTATCAAGGAAATCCTGGTAAACGCGTACGTACTTACACATCGCTATATATCAGTTTCGGATTAGTTGCGTTTCAGTTATAAAACTGACAGTGGCGGATAGAAGTTTAAACCATGGACAAAATATATCAAATGTATTTCATACTTTGTCTACATGTTGTTGCTACATTTGTAAACGGACAAGCAATGTATAAATTACCAATGCAGACTCGAAATGCCTTTGACGAAACAACTGACGAACAAAAAAACAGAGCAAGAGAATTCATGGTGGAAGTTTTTTCAAACATCGAGGCAGGCATCAACAGAAGGTTTCATAACCTTCAAATTGATTTGAGAAGTCGTGATGTGGAAATCTATAAGTTAAAGCAAATGCTAATAAAACAGGGCTTTGACCTAGGGGGGGGGATAATCTATCTCAACATGGCGACATGTTTCAACAAAATGGAGAACTGTCGTCGAGACAGAGACAGAAATAAAACGAGTTTCTCAAGAAAGCAAAGACGCAGTTAGAAAACTCAGGCGGGAAAATAAGGTTCTAGAAAATGAGAATAGAATATTGTCGACACGTCTTGATGCAACGCAAGCAGTTCTCATATTAATGTCCGAACGAACGAGCCTGAAGATGAATGAGTCTGATGGTTTTACTAATTTGAACCAAATTGTTCAGAAGATTAATAGCATGGAAGACAGGCTGGATTATCTAAATGACTCTATTCAGGAGATGAAGAACTCGTCTGCTGAACATGTCCTGATTTTAAACACTCGGGATGGAAACCTGGAGGAGGAAATTGACATTTTACGACGAAATGTGTCTGCTGTTGATAGATCGGTTCAACTGGACGCAAATGAAAGAAAATCTCTTCGGAATGTGCACGAACAACGTTTTTCGAACATTACTAATGCGATGAAGAATACTCAAAACCAGATGATTTCCAATCAATTAGAAGCAACTGAAAGAAAAAATGTACACGAAGAACGATTTTCGAACATCACAAACGCGATGGATAGTATTCAAAACAAGATTAGATCTGTTCAACTGGAAGCAAATGAAAGAAAGTCTCTTGTAAATTTGCACGAACAACGTTTTTTGAACATTACAAATGCAGTGGTTAGAATTTCAAACCAGATGGAATCCGTGCAACTCGAAGCAAATGAAAGCAAATCTCTCTTAAATGTGTACGGGCTACGTTTTCTGAACATCACAAACTCGATGGAGAGTGTTCAAAACCAGATGAATTCCCTTCAAATAAAAGGAAATGAAAGAAAATCCCTTATAAATGTTCACGAACAACGTTTTTCGACAATCATAAATACAATGAATAATCTTCAAAACCGGATTAATTCAATGGGTACCCATAATTTAGAAATTATTTTTATTCAAATATCTTTTTTAGACAATACTTGTTTCTCGTATTTCAAGGGGGCAATGTCACTTTATATAGTTGCTATAGTGTATACATTTAATAACTGCAAATTCCAGGGGGATCACCCCTTCTAGATTTGCGCATGTCAGAATACTGTACTTTTTCGACCTAGCTTGACGATTCTGTCTTTTTTCATAATTTAGTGCGTGTAAGATTGGTTGGAGGAAGCACAGCTAGAGAGGGACGAGTGGAGGTTTACCACTCCAATGTGTGGGGGACAATCTGTGATGATAAGTGGGGTAGCTCTGATGCAAGAGTTGTTTGTAGAATGCTTGGATACTCGGGGTAAGTCTGTACCGTGACCAATAATATTAATAATATTTATCCATGCTTCATACATGTCATACACAGGCTTTTGAAAACATAAACATTACGTGTACATTATAAAGACATGTTTCTAAAGTAATTTTGGAAAGTACGGATATTGAGGAATTTCGAACACGTACCGACGAACTTTTTCTTGAAAATTGCACATGTGAAAGACCTGACTTTTTTACGATTAAAATTTTACATTTTTGCTCTCATTTTTGGTTTCAAAAGATTAATACTAAAGTATTTGAAATATGTGCATTGTTAGATTGCGAAGGTAACCTATTTAATCCTATTTTTGTAGATAATATATAATCATTTTGTTGCATGCACTTCCATTACATAGTTATACCACCCCCACCCCCGCTTGAAAAGTGGGAGGGTATATAGTGATCGGGATGTCTGTCCGCATGTATGTCCGTCTGTCTATTACGCTTTGGGGTACCAATCTCTAATCCACAGCTCTTCTTATACCACTGAAATTTAAAAAAAACAAAAACAAAAACATAATCTTTGTTACATAGTAAAATTGTGCACCTCCTATTTTACTTTTTGATCCGACACATATTTTTGATTTCACTTATATACACTGCTATTCTTCTATGATACTGAAGGGTACCCATCTCCTATCCACAAGTCCTCCTATACCAGTGAATAAAATTTAATGATACTTTCACAGATTCTTTATAACATTATGTCATAATGCCTATTTTATGTTTTGATCTGAAACTTATTTCGGTTCTCTCAGAGCACAACAGGACTATGCCATAATAATCATATGGGAGGCTCACAAAAAGTTTTGAAGCTCCAGTTTTCCGAGCGATCCTCTCTGTAACTTGATTAGATATATATATTTTTCCTCTTAGGTCTTACACTGCCTACGATGGCGCTCATTATGGACAAGGAACAGGACAGATTTGGTTGGAAAATGTTGAGTGTTCAGGATCAGAGTCCACAATATTCTCCTGTAGGCACGGTAGTTGGGGTGCTCATGATTGTTCTCATGGCGAAGACGCATCCGTCAAGTGCACTTAAAGAAGATCATCCAAGCACAAAGTCGTTAATACTGCCATCGATTTTGGAAGACGTTTATTTGTTTACGTAAACATGTGTGTTCTTTTATGTCGTTCATTTTTTTCCTTTCAATCTGTTAATAATCAAAATAAGACGGAAAGAACATCTTGGTATGACTACTGTGTGTGTGCATTTGTTGATTTTGATATTCTATATTTTGCATAATCAGAATGTATAACGGTCTTCATTGTAATTAGCCAAAATATTTCAAGGCACCAAAATCTAGATTCGGAGAGAAAGTATCAGTTTCGGATCTGTCGTGCTGGAATCACTCAACTGTCTTACATTCAACATATCGTCCACATCATTATCTCAGAGAACTGAGTCCCTCAAATTTTGAAATTGAATTGTATGTAATGTACAAACCTTTGATGCATCATTTAACTTAAGTTTTACAACACTTGTTTTACATCTTTTTAAAGGTTCATATGCACCTCAATTGTATATGCATTGATGAATAAAATTTCTGTTGGCTTCAAATAAACATGAACGGGAACATTCGATAAAGGATATGTTCATACTAGTATTTGGATCCGATCTTAAAAAAAGATTCCACTATTTTTTTTTTTTTTTTTGGTCTCCCGCGTGGCGCAGTGGTTAGAGCGTCTGCTCGAGAGTCACAAAGTAAAGAATTGATCCTTAGATCGCGGGTTCGAACCCCACTGTGGGACGTGGAGACCAGTCGGTGCAGTAGGTGCTGGCACGAAAAAGACCCATCACTGCTCAATGGCCGTAAGTGCCGAGTATAGGTCAAAATTTGTAACTCTCACCGACAAGTGGTGGCGTCTCCATATATGAGTGAAAAATTATCATCAACTTTCCTGATGGGATGGTCCAGTGTATGTCCTACTTAAACTTGCAAACCTCCAACGTTACCCAGTATATGATTACAACATTAACCCCCCCCCCCCCCCGCTTTGTTTGAATTCTTTTTTTAAATTTTCGATATATATCGATATATATCACATTGAGTAAAATTCAGTAAAATACAAAAGTATCTTAATTAAAACAAAACATTTATTTGTGTAATTTCACTTCTAGTAAATAATTTTAATTTGGGGTAAATAATTTTAAATCACAATAATTTACTACATTAGACACAAACCGAAGCCAAGTAAAAATCTTGAGATGTTAAAACTGGATAACTTCATAAAATAATTATACCACCCCCTCACCACTTGAATTATAGAGATATGTTGATGGAAGTATTTGTCCATCCATTTCACTCTCACATCTATCACTGAATAAACTTGAATGAGATTTCTCCAAATTTTTTTAACACTATGCCAATGTGACCTCATATTCTGTGCTGATTTCTTGGATATCTGGGCCACCTTTAGCAAACATGGATTTTACCATTTTACTACTCAAATTAGAGTGGAAGTATCATATTGTCAGCCCTGTGCTCACAGTACCTCTACTTTTTCTTTTGATAAGTACAACTCTCAAGTATGCAGAATTCTTTTTTAAAATAATATTTTTTAAAAAAATTAAAAAAAAACAAAAAAAAAAAAACATCAATTAGGAATCTCCAATTTTAATTGGTAAACCATTCAACAGTTATATATAAAGCATTTCTTTGCTTTCTGTTATACCTCACAAACATCACACATTACAAACAGTCACACAGACTTCCATATTGAATTAAAAATTAATTGAACACCATGATTATAACTGCCACATTTCATTGGCCGATTCAGCAAAATCCAGGGATCAAAATCTGGAACTTTGTTCATGTTCACATGGATCTTGTGTGGATCTCTATTAAGCATGTGCACCAAATGCTGAATAATTTATCCATAAATGTTTAAATAAGCAGATGAAAGCACTTCAATGATGCCAAAATTATCATCACTGCTCAGTCTATAAGAGAGCTCTTGTCAATCCGAACTGTGCCTCCTGATTCTACACAAAACCGAAAGCCTTGGTCTTGATGGCTAGAAGCATTTTGCTGCGTAGCACGACTTTGGAGGAGTAGAGTGGTATGTAGAGCCGTGATATACAGGTGTTGGCGGTCGGTAGATGGTCGTCTCCGGCCGGGCGTATGGTGATGCTGGGCATGGGCTGGAATCCCTCCTCGCTAGCAGGGAGAGCTGGACTCGATGTCCAGAAATATACCTGTAAAAAGTAGTCATATTAAACTGTTTATTTATCTTTACATGATTTCTATACAAGGGGCTGCAATCAATGGTATGATATAATGATAGTTAAGAAGAATAAGCACTTCAGATAAGTTAATCTTGCCTGGGTTGTAAAAAGCAATATTATTTAGCAAAATAAAAAAAATCTAAGATTTTACAAACATTTTGTGTTATTGCTGGGCTGAGAACAAAATATGTGTATGACGCAGAAGATTGATATTTGTTTAATAATGAATGACATTCTCTTAAAAATAAATATATTGTACACAATGAAACATTATTTTATGGACTTTTGAGCTTGAATATTGCTTGTTATCTCCATAAATTTTACACAAACTTTCATTAATACAATCATAAAGTGGGAAAAATTGAGCAACTCCTTAGTCTGAATCTTACCAGGTCTTGTCTCTCATGGTTGTTCATCTTCTCCACAACTGACCAAAACCAGCGCTTAAATCTCTGGACCTTGTCATTACTTTCACCTAAAATAAAAAATAATCTATCAGTTTCCACATTTCTCAATTCCATTTAAGGTCAGATGAGACATTCCTCAAAATCGGTTTTGTATGTCTTCGTTATATATAAAAAATATTCAAAATTTTCATAACATTCTGATTTCTATACCAGTTTCTAAACGTTTTTAAAAAATTCAAACATTTAAACATTTGATATTGAAAAATTATTTTTCTTCCCCAAAGGATTATATAAGTAAAACTACCCCTGGTATCTTGCAGAAATGCCTGGTAAGGTACCTCAATTTTTTGTGAGTAAACATGTTTAAGTAGCAACACTTCAATGACAAACTCTTGGAAAAATTTATCTATTATTAAGGAACGTCTCGTCTGTCCTTAATCTGCCATGAAGCTAACACAAAGGCATATCATATGTATTGAAATGGTTTTCATGCATTAACTTCTTTTCTATGTAAACCAATACCAAATGCTTTTCAATATCAGGAGAATTTTAAAACAAGTCACATTTTAATAAAATCATTAGAAATTTATGTTTGGTGAGTATTATCATCTACTTGACATCTTTTCTGTAGCTCTACTGACTTACCACTTTCATCATAAAATGACGTGTAGCTGATGAGTGTCTGTACTGACTTACCACTTTCATCATTAAATGACGTGTAGCTGATGAGTGTCTGTACTGACTTACCACTTTCATCATCAAATGACGTGTAGCTGATGAGTGTCTGTACTGACTTACCACTTTCATCATCAAATGATGTGTAGCTGATGAGTGTCTGTACTGACTTACCACTTTCATCATTAAATGACGTATAACTGATGAGTGTCTGTACTGACTTACCACTTTCATCATTCAATGACGTATAACTGATGAGTGTCTTCACTGACTTACCACTTTCATCATTAAATGACGTGTAGCTGATGAGTGTCTGTACTGACTTACCACTTTCATCATCAAATGATGTGTAGCTGATGAGTGTCTGTACTGACTTACCACTTTCATCATTAAATGACGTATAACTGATGAGTGTCTGTACTGACTTACCACTTTCATCATTCAATGACGTATAACTGATGAGTGTCTGTACTGACTTACCACTTTCATCATTAAATGACGTGTAGCTGATGAGTGTCTGTACGTTGATGTCCCCCACGCCGTTCAGTAGAAGTCTCAAATCCTCTGCGGTCAGTCCCTCCAAAGAACTACTGGGGATTACGTCAAATACACCTAGCTTTAAGTGCTGAAATAAAGAGCAAGACATTGATCAATATTTTAAATTGGTCCAGTAAATGACAAGTTAAACCTCTTGGTAACTTTTATTGATTGAAACAGACCATCTTCACAGGGACTTGTTTATAACAAAAGTCTACATTTTCTTACCTTTAATGCTTTTTCCAGTACTTTAACCATTCTATATTCTGCATAGCGACGCACGTAATCATGTACGTTCTGAGCATTAACTTCTACATCACTGCCCCCGGGGATAAGTTCTACTTCTTCCCCACCCTGATAAAAGATATACAATTCAGTTACTTGATCTCTTCAAAATTACCACCCTATTTTATCCCTTACTCTTTGCATATATTTCAATAGAACAATTTTCAATGCTCAAGTTAATTTTCACCAATATTCAGAGCAATTTTTGCAAAATGAACATATAGTATACTATATACTTTTTACTAATATGCAAAAATATATAAAAAAAAATTTTTCTAAATAATCCCTTTATTACTTTGTTAGTAAATCTTGAAATTTTTTATACTATTTTTCGTACCTCCTCTACTCCAAGTTGTACAAAGAAGTTCATATCCAGCGCAGCAAACAGTAGGGAGGCGTCCTTATTCTCGGAGTCCAGGACCACCTGTCTGAGACTCTCATACATTACGGGGTCAAAGAAGGCGAGGTCGTGCCAGCCAATCTTACGACCCAGGATGTACTTCAGGACATGGCGATTCAGGAACAAGGGACACATCTCGTTTTGTAACAGGCACAGACCTATTATTCTGTTAAAATAAAAAAAAATATTTGTAAAACTTTGAAACGATTCCTTCAAAAAATTTATTGATGTAAATTCTTTTTGGAATATATCATTTAAAAAATTGTTTTCTTACTACATGCATCATATGCAGGTAAAACACAGTTGGCATGTTAAGCTTATTTTATACATGTTACTCAGGATCTATGTAAAACTTGGACAGAAAATCCTCAAACATGATTTTTACATGCAAAGTTCCTTAATAGGAACAAAATATGAGAATCTTATAAAATCATCTTTCAATTCATTGCTGAAACATTCTACAACAATTATTCAAATGACACTAAACTCTTTGTAATGAACACAATCACTGGATACCTTCCGACATTCCTGAATGCGTTGAGCCTCTCTGGTGTGCTTTTCCCGGGTCGCGGGGAGTAGAACCCCCGTTTTCCGGGCTGCCAGAACAGCGGAGAGTTATCCTCCAGTTCTTCCTCCTCCTCCGTCTCGTTTTTACGGTCCGTCAATTTCTTCTTCTTGTCGCTTGCAGACAGATTGAAGATATCCAGATCCAAAAGAGCTTCAGCACTCAGCTCTCTACAAATACAAAAATTCACATATTATTGTGAAAAATTCATGAAACTTATCATGTTGGTCAACTCTTTATATGTCTCAGAGAGACATATTTCCCATAACAAAAAAAAATTATCAGTTAAGATATTAGGTACACTATTGTTGTTTTTTTTTTAAAGTTCATTCAAAACTTTTACCAAGTGGTTTTCTCTCTGTAATGGTAATAAATGAAATAAGCAAAGGGAATGAATGATTACATGACCCTTGCATATTTGGTCAAAGTAGGGTGTATTGTTACATTTGGAATGGACTTGCTATGGAACCCTGAATATGGCCACTTCTCAACAATATATGATCAGATGATTTGAAATTGGAACATGTCTGGTGGTAATGCATCAATTCCTAGATGCATCATTTACTCTGATCAAGTAAGACTTTCTTAGGGGGAATATCTCCTAAACCTTAAATAATTGTTTCTCAGCTAAAAAAAAGATAGGACAGATGCAGCATCCAAAACATGACCAATTGTATGAATCTCTAAGAGTATCATCAAAACAAATTTTTGCAGTGTAAAATTTATTTAGAGAAATAGACCACTGCCTCAATTTCAATCTGGGATAACAGCAACATCAGTACATCATAAACTTATCTCAACTTAGTCAACAAGAACTAAACAGTTAATTCCCCCTCACCTTCCGTGAGACATGATTATATCTACAGCTTCATCCACTCTCTGTCTCAGGGTCTCCTCTGAGGTCAACATCAACAGCAGCTGGGCTGGGGACAATTCTAGTAACATACCAGTTATCTTAGGGGCCTGAGACTAAAAAAAATCATATTTATTTAAAATTTATTTGTGTTATTAGTGCAGTTATAAAATTGTATTTGAATTTTTTTTAAATATTATAAAATTTCAAAATTCAGATCTTGTGAAGTCATAATACATGAAACATTCCCTCAAAATGATTGCCAAAAACATTAAATTCTGGCTTGATATTATCTGCCATTAGGAATGAGACCCTTTAACAATTAATGATTACTATACGGAAGTCACATTTTGAAGCAAGGTTCTTATATTTAAACTCTTACTGGTTGTAGAGCCCTGACTTTAGGGTACAGCCTCTCTCCCAGCTGTCTGCGGTACTGTGACACGGTGTCAGGTCCGCCCTCAGAGCTGGAGTCCGAGGAGGGGGGTCCCGCTGGACTGGGGTTGTTATTGTTGGCTACAGGGGCCTCTGCTGGCATGTAGAAGGGAGGGGCGTCATAGGACAGAGTACGTCTAGTGTCCCTCTCCCTGCTACGCTGTCTGCGGAGAGTGGACCGCTGTCTCTCTCTTTCTCTCTCTCTAGATCTTGCTCTTTGTAGTAAATCTACGATAAAGAAAATTATCTCGAATTAGATATTTATTCATTAGTCTACATTATTAGCATTTTACAAACGGAGAGAAAAAAATATTCTTTATTATATTTTGAAAGCTATTGATTTTTATTTAAAAGAAAAAAAAAAACTTTTTTAAGAAAAATTATTAAATGAAATGTTCACAAAGAAAATCTGATATCTATCATGCATTTATCTGTCTAAAAAAAACACTGGTAAATTCACTTACTATACTGCAGGTTTTTGCCTCCAATCAGCACCCCATCTAATGAAGGAAGCTTTTCTTGTGATAAAACAGCCTGTTAAATGAGAAAAATATGGATCTCAATCTTGACTTTAATCCAGCACTTCTTTACTTTTTTTAAATTATAAAGATCAAACTCTGTATTGATTATTTCCTTACATTAGCTATGGCAGTGTAAAAGCTCCTGGCTACTCCGCTACCCTCCCCTGGTTCGTCCTTGAAGGTGACCTTGACCCTGTGAACAGCCAGAGGGGGACCGCTGGTGTTGGTTCTCCTGTTATACTGAGTGTTGAGTTGCTTGAATGACTGAACAATTAACAAATTCCTGTCTCTTTCCACCTACAAATTAAAATAACAGATTCTTTGAATGATGGCAGTTATTCAACAATTCTGCTGATTTGTGGTATGAAGTACAGTGGAGCCCTATTTCACTTTTAAAATAATGATGTTCCTGGAGATTTTTTTTTTCAAATTCGTTAAAAAATTAAATGTTATGCTACAGAAAGAAATGTTTCCTTTTGAACCCCTAGCTATAACGAATACCAGAACCATCAGATCAGTGACAGAGTTCACTTTATCACTTACATCCAAGATGATATCCCTCTGTTGAGAGTTTCTGATCTTTTCCATCTCACGTCTAAACTTGCTCTCCTTGACCGGGAATCCCCCCAGTTCACTGATGACAGATCCAGGCTCCGCCCCCACATCATCACAGAAGACACGCCCAAACAGGTCAAGGGCCAATCGCCATCGCCCAAGCAAAACGTCATGTGAAACCAAGTTACTCAAGGGGTTAAGCCTGAAACAAAATTATCTTTATTAACATGTTGTTTGTAATTGTGTACAAGTAGAAATGTTTTAATGAACTTTTATTTGTGCTCTGTATATATTTTTGCTTTCTTGTTACATAATATGCATTTTTAGGGTGAATAGGAATGTATTTCTAGTGATAATAAATATGCTTGTCTCATATTATCAAAATGGCTTCATATTTTTGGACCCTGTAATTAGGAATCTTAAAACGAAAGTTATGCAATAGACACATATCTCAGTATCATAATCTAAATGTAGATGAAAAATTTTGATACAATTTCCCTTCAAGTGTAAAAATAATTGGGGAAAAAAAGGCTTTGACAGAGATTATCTTCAGTACTATTAGACTACTGTCACAGTTCCGTTTCACTGTCTCACCTGACCGGTCCCAGACCTGGGGGTACAGCTGAGGTCTCTATGTCCACCGTGTTACAGACATTCTCATGAGCTCCCACCATGTCTAGACCAGGCTCCACAGACCCTGAGGGCAACGTGTCACTGTAGCTAAAAGATTCATCATACACTTAAGCTTCATTACATGTCTATGCAAACTCATACTATTCTATGCAATGCTTCATTTTCCTCTTACTAGTCAAAACAAAAATTAAATACCTGTATTAAATTTGTCATAAATCATTTCACAACACATTTTAATCATTGACTCAGAAAGAAATATGGATCTTTTTTACCTGGCCTGCATGGATGGACCATCACTAGATGAGGGCGTCCTCTGGTCAGCCATCTCCATTGTGGAGGGTCCAGGGATCTGGTCGGGGAAGGGGGCGCTGTCAGGCATGCTCTCCGAGGGCAGAGACTGCATGGACTGGGACTCCATCATCCCTGGTAGCACTCCCATCGACATCCCACTGCTATCTGTATTGCTCTTTGTCAGGGATGAGGACATACCCGTGCTACACTGGGTGGTGACCCCCGACATTAGGGAAGAGGAGGAGTCTGAGGGGACAGAACTCAGGGAGGGGGGTTGGATATTCAGACTTCTGTTTAAAGAGTCAGACTGACTACTCATTTGACTGTGTGGATCCATTCGCCTTTCTCCGGGCATGTACCTTCCATCGGGTAGCTGAGCACCAGAGTAGGCTGGTACTGGTAAAGGCAAACCTTGGGCTGCACTGGAATGTACAATCACACTAGCCTGATTTAACATTTCATTGGATTTACTCACATCTGGACTCTGTCCTGGCAAGGGGATATTGCTGAGCATAGTTGTATCTCCTGGCTGGCTGCCAGCCATTTGAGAAGGTAAAGTCTGAGAGGGAGGTTTCACTATTACACTAGCACTACTGAAGGGGGCATCAGGAAGATGGGAGGGTCCTGGTTGGGATAGAGGGCCTGGCACAGAGGCCATGGGTAGAGAAGAGGTCTGCATCAGACAGCTGGCTGAGCGGCGCTCAGATAGGGCCATTCTGATTGGCAATTTATCAAATTGATTCCTACTGCCTGACATCTTCTGTGCTGACTTTACGTCTGAGGATGCCCTGAAAGGTGCTACAGCCTGTCGTATCATGCCAAACAGGTCTTCTCTCCTAGCGTTTGGTTGGAGGAGATGTGGGAGGTCAGCCAATGGCAGGGCCTGTACCAGAGGTGTCTGGAATGGGTCTGGTGGCGGACATCCTAGGAAAGTGGTGGAGTCCGAGCGGTGGAAGAACTGGTGTTTGCGTCCAGACTTCGTGGTGACATCAGACTCGCCGTCCACACTCTCGTTGTCCATCGACATGTTGGTGACAGGATCATCATCATGCTCCTCATTCTCGTTTTCATCATGGTCCCAGGAAATGACAGAAATACCATCCCTGTAATATTTAAAAAACTGGACTCTTAAAACATGAAAGGGCTTGTAAAAATACTTAGTTCATTGAAAATAACTTACAAATATGATAATTTTAAAATAATGAAACAGTATTTCCTGATTTTCATTGAATTTGAAAAAAATAACTTTTAAAATCATATTTAAATAATTTGAAATAAATTACTTTTTTACTCAATTTTCATGACAAAATTTCAATATGTATGAATTATTAACCTGAAAACATCAGCATCTGTGTCAATACCACTTCTCATGTAATATATCAAAGCATCAAACACATAGGCGACATGTCTCATAGACAGGATATCAAGACTGGGCAGCGAGTCAGCATGTTCATCATTATGAGACCTCATCAGAGAAAGAGCGTAATTCAGGAATTCACGACGGGCCAGGTTTCCATCAGCTCCTGTGTGTGAAATCAATACAAAATTATGAGTCTTTCAAGCATTTAGAATTTGGTACATATCTACTACAGAAGAAAGAACTGTCTCTGTGGTTAAAATCTTGCAGTTGAATGCCCATTAAAGACTGCTTTCTTGGCTATGCACCAAGAAATTTTCTGGTTCTCGTTTTTTTATAAATAATGATTATTCTTGATGAAATTTTGGCCAAGATGAAATGGAAAAATCTTGTTACCAAAACTGAAATTTATTTCACCATATTCTACAGCACCAAAAAGAAATAAAATTATCATTATCTAAAGTTAGAATTTCCTTTTCTATAAAAAATTTGTTCATTTAATTAAGAACTGAAAGTAAAACATTTGACCAATATAATAGTAATCCTGCATAGAATCCTCACCAATGGTTCCAAACCTAGCTCTGCGTCTGTCCAGAGCCTGCAGGATACGACTCTCCTCACGGTTTGTTCTCTCCCGTAGGTTACGGACGTAGTTGGAGTGGAGGGGGTGACTAGGATTGGCGGGGTCGGTGGTGTGACAGAGGGCTGCACCAAACCGCAGCTGGGCCTCAGTGGAGTCCATTATATCAATCAGCCAGTCCCAGGTCAGGGACAAATGCATCTCAGTGTAACACTAAAAACATATAGGTAAAGGTGTAATTGTTACAGATTCTGCTCAAATCATAATGCAGCATTGAAATTATCTAAGCACAACAAAGTTTTTTGTCTAAGCTACAGAAACAGCATTAGAAAACAAAAATTGATTATGATTTTTTTTCAAATTTAAGTCGAAGACTTTTTAAGGTGAATTAAAAATTAGCTTGAAAATCTTATCAAAAATTAATTTTTAAAAATTTCTATTCTATTACCTGTAGATCACTGGCTTCTTGGTCAGAAATCTCTAACACTCTGGGCAGTCCTGGAGCCAGAGCATTGTAGTCCTGTATCATTGTTAACAAGTCTGCGATCTGTCGCACCACGACACTGAAGGCACGCGCCAGCTGACTGGCGGTGGTCGTCATGGTAACCTGGTTCTCCTGGTGATGGTGGACCGCTGTCGTGGTAACCGTACTGGTCCTCCTCAGAGTGGCGGGATCAATGTAGATCAGGCCACCAGTACCTCCTAAACACAAATAAAGGTGAAGTAAAACACACGAATTGTGGGCATTTATTTTTTTTTTCAAGATATACATTTTACATTTATGATGAAAATTCCTCCAGAATGGTCAAAGAAAATATCGTTTTTCTCAGATTAATTTGATGTGAACAAGTGGATTCTATATAGTTTTTTAAACAAAGTGCAGCTTCCCTGAGCTTCTATTTCTCAGTATCTGTACTGTCTGTTACCTGTGGTGGTGGTGGTGCCTGATGTAGGAGGGGGTCTTGTGGTGGGGGTCTCTCTCTGTCTGATTGCCCACTGCATGGTCTGAGGGGCCTGGAGTGTCCTCTGTCCATGAGAACCTGTCAACATTAAAATATTTATCAAAGTTCTCTTCTTAATATGTACAGCAAAACTCGTTTAGTACGTACACGGATATTGCAAATTTATGGATATACTGTTTAATGAGGGGACATAAAACTACCATCTTGATTTTCCATGCCCCCATGAAACTTTGTATCTTAAACTACAGTACTTGACTTCAGTGTCCTTAACCTATTCTGTATATATCCCCACCTGAAGTATGACATCTCTCCAGCTGCTCATCAATGAAGTTCATGTCATCAGCATCATTCCCATCATTACTCTGTTCTCCTTCACTTTCATAATCTTCTTCCTGATTGGACGATTCTCCGGAATCCTCAGAAAAGTGGGCCAGGCTTCCAAGCCCTACAATGACATGAATATGTAAAGTAAACTTCACCATTTCTTATGGGAAACCCCCATATTTTTACATTGCAAGAGTACAACGTTTTACCTGCGTCTGACCCAGCTGTTGCCGCAGTGACAGCACTCCTCTGTACACTGACATTGTCCTGGTTGCTATGACTACTCTCACTGTCACTCTCTGAGATGACATCCATGTCACTTTCTCCAGCACCTGTAAATCAAACACATCATTGGGTTTTATTCTGATTAAAGCATTTACTGTCTCTCTGAACAAAGGTCTCAAACTTAAAAGCTTAAGTCTTGAACTTTTAAAAAATCTTACTTTTAATTAACTGATTCACAGACTTCGAACTTATCAAACATAAATAAATTTCTATCTATACTGACCTCCTTCATTGTCGATTTGGTCCTGATCAGAGTGTTCCGATTGGTGATCCTCACGATCCTCGTGATCTGATTGGTCATCTTCACCTCCCATACCTTCTCCTACCTCCACCTGTTCCAAAAATTCGAAATAATATACATCATTATTCTTACATCTTCATTGACATCCTGTACAAATACAAGTAAATATACAATCTTCCTCATTAAGAATGCCTTACCTCCTCTGGGGGCATCATTTCATCATCGTCCCCATCCTGCCCCGCCCTCTGGGAGGGGACACTCTGGGAGATGCGTGGGTGGGAGATGTAGGACACAGAGTGGTTCTCAGAATCTGCTGGGTGGGACCTGGGGGGCAGGGGGTCAAGGTTGAAGATTTCCTCACTTCCCTGTTCAATAAATACCATGAATAGAAAGGCTTCTCTTTATTTAAAATTTTTAAAATACTAGTTCCTCAATAGGTTGGTTTTATCTTTTAACACTTTTGTTTCCATTAAAAAAAAAACATCTTCAAAAACAAAACCAGTTCTTCATTAACATAAAAATATCTCTATCTCCTAAGTTTTCCAAAAAATAAAACAAATTGTTTCAAAAACAGTTACAAATTTGTTACAAAAATAGTAGGTTGTTAAAAAAAATTCCAAATACTACAAAGAATTTGCAAAAATGAAGTCACCTGAATGGCATCAATGTTGGCCGTGGCGAGAGTGAACGGAGCAGTGGGCCGTAGGACCCCCATCCTGACCGGAGCAATTAAGGAGTCGGCCATCTCACAAAGCTCCTCTATAGCTAGGGTGATCAGAGCATTGAAGGCTCTCTTACATCTAACCAAGGGCTGACAGGCAGTGATACTGGAACTAAAAAGACAAGGATCAATCAGTCGATCATTATTTGCTAACTTTATAATGAATATTCACAATACAGTGAACCAACTTTCATCAGTGAAATTTTTTTTTTCGTGATTTGTCAGTTTGATAACTGTATAGGATAACTAATTTTGGTGACTGAGGAAATATTCTTCATAAATGAAATAAAAAGTTTGATGACAAATATTTGTAAAACATGATAATGCAACTTGCAGAATTCTCAGAGGTGAATAAATGTTTGTTTACAGTAAATAAAGTTATACATGATCCTCCTTATCTTGCTTAATATACAACGTATTAGTTTCCCAAATAAAAGTCTAGTTATATAACACACTGATGCAAACCTTTTCTTTTTGTTGGTGGCTGGGGTCATCTCTATGTTGAGGACGACAAAGATTCGAGCCACCGATCTGATAAATCGTCGGGTCACAGTCCTAGCCTCTGCCTTCCTGCCCTCCACATTATCATTCTGCATCTCTCTGATCAAAGTCGTCAACAAAGTATCCAGCATCTGTGAGAGAAAGAAAGATTAAACATGAGTGCAGGCATGTTCAAGTGAAAAACTTCTGAGAGAAATAACTTTTAATTCATTAGATGATGACTCATAAGGTTTATGACAATAAGTCAATGCTGATTTCGTGAAACTTAAAAGTATACACGCTATAACTTGCGCCAGTTAAAGTACGATTGGAAATTGATATAATTTGTTTATCAATAAAAGTTACGAAAATACTGTAAATTACACCATTAAAATTAAACGCGTTACAAAGTTATCAAATTATAATTATTTATTATCCTGCAAGGAAAGAAAAATAGTTATTTTTAAATAAATCCATCACGTGACGCCGTCGCTACTTTTAGATTGATAAACACACGTGGCGTAAAGAAAACAAGGTAGGCCGTTTGAGATACTACTCACTTTTGACGTGGATGGCAAGCGTCTTACTCTTAATGGTACTTATCTTTTAATGTATTCAGTATCAATCATCTTCTCTTTTATGACTCATATTGACCTTATATTAATAATTGTTGTCAAAATGCAACATACGTCGTTGTCTGTGATTTCCCGTGGACATGTGTTTCTATATATAGGCCTGCTGTTTACGCACTTCCTTCATCAATATTCATGAAAAGACTGAATTCTTAATTCCTAGATATGTTTAATTGTTTTGTTATTACAACGACATCTATAGTACAATTTTGTGGAAAGTATTATTTTTTATTACACTTCATGTATTTTAATTCATTAATCATTTTGTTTCACACAAAATTCGGCGTTCATATAGCGTATATGACTTTAAATAAGGAAGCAACGAAGTTAGATCAAGAAGTCAACTTTGCAAATCTGAAATTTAAACTCTTTGAAATATAAAGCATGGATTCTAGAAATTTTTTGAGAAAAGGGGGGGGGGGGGTATAAATGAGAATTTTCTTGTACCTCTACACTGCACTTGACCAGTAGGTTGTGAGTGAACTTGTCCAATCTAGCCGTGCCACTCTGACTGTCCAGGTACAGCTGGTCCTCATACACAACATCCGGTGAACTGGTTCCCTTCTTGCCACTCATAATCATAGACTTCACGGCAGTCCAGTCATTGAGGATCCGCTCCAGTGAGCGACGACTGAACCGTGGGGGTTCAAGATCATGCTCAGGCATCTCCACATCTAAACAATACAAATATTTGAATCAAAAAAAGAAATTGCATACAACTCTGTAATGATTAAAAGGAGCTTTTACAAGTTTATACATACAAGATGCATATACAAGTATATACAATGCATACTTACACCACAAAGGGACGTTCTCACATAGATTGTCTATGCGAAAGAAAATTTTAATTTAAATTTACTGAATACTCAGTTTATCTCAAAACAGAAAGTCAAAATCAAAAATGCTAAATCTTTCAGCAAGTTTAATTCTGATGAAATAGCACACAGAAAAACATGCTCAATAAGACACATTGCATACACTTTATTCTAGGCATTTACAGTAATTTTTACCTGGGTCCTGTGGGATAGCTTTGCGGGACGAGGGGACCCGGGTCCTGTTGGGCCGGTACTGTCTCTGTTCTATCAGCTGTCTCCCCACAGTCTGAACTAGGAACAACAGGATGTTCTCACCTCTGTAAAAAGAGTTTTATTCAAATTATTAGCTCCAAGTCATAGCATCTTCTTACAAACATGATTTTGTACTCGGTCTACCCTCCCCTCCCCTCCCCCTCAACTATATAATAAGAATCAACCTGCACATTATAAGCAGAATTCAAACTCTGGCAATATCTAAATCATTACCAAATCAAAATTTATCCTTAGAAATGATATAAAGTACAGAAATGCTAATTAATATTTCCCCAAATTACCCAAAGCCTCTATGTCTGCTAAATTTTTATTGTGTTAAAAAATATGTACATTATACATGTACATTTACCATGCACCCATTAACATTCCAATATTTTTTTTTTGGAAGACCCTCCTAAGATTAACAATTCTGTCTGCACTGACCTGCTGTTGGGAAGCTTCACCAGATCTGTCTCGGTTAACAGTCGGTTTAACAACTCGAAGCGAGGCTGTTGTTGGCCGGCAATCAGAGCTTTACATTTACACTTTTCCCAGCAGTCACAGTAAGCTGTAGGAGAGGTCCTCTTCATTCTGAAAACATTTCATGAATGATTATTTTGCTAATTCTTCAATAATTACATGTGCATATCATTTTTTATCATAAATAATGATCTAGATAAATTTTTCTTTCTTATACAGAACTTTTACATGTATGTAAAGTTCCAGTATAGGAAAATACTCTGCTGTTTCCCGAGTTAAGATAAACTACATTAAATTATAATGTTACATGGTTAATGAAAATCAACGCTCCCAGATAACTGTATGTACCAGTTCAGAATTTCTACAAATTTTGTAAAGCATCTTTGTTTTTAAGTTGAAAGTTTTAGACTCCCTCAGAAAGTTTTTCATATCTGAATGAAAAATTGTTTTCTAATTGAAGCTGCATGTAATATATAGGAAAATTAAACTTGGCTCATGTACTTTTTGCATTATTTTGTACCTTTCTGGCTGGAGTTTATACAAGCATTACATGTATGTATGTTGAATAACTTACTTGCAGTCATGTCCTCTGTGACAGACCCTGGCACATTCAGTGCAGCAACACAGAGATCCCACCAGACCACAGGTTTTACATTCAAATATATCCTGTAATTATTACATTTAATACTGAAGTCAATGGTAAAACATGTTTATGTCATGGAAAGAAATAACTGAGAAAGAAGTTCATATACAAGTGAATTTGGATAAAAAAAATTATTTAAGTTTGCATCAGAAACCATTGAAAAATTTTGTTTCAGAAACAGTTTCTACATATCTTATAAGAATCAAATTTTGCATTAGAAACAATTCCTATAAAAGTTTGATTATGAAACAATTGCTAAATTTTGCATTAGAAACAAATTCTAAATTTTGTATTAGAAATGATTTCTAAAATATGTATCTACATATATGTGAAGGAACTTCAGCTCACCTGTTTGATGTGTTCTCGTCCAGTCCAGGTAAAACTACAGGTGTCATTACAACACAACATCTGTAGGGGGGAGTTGTCTAGGCTTGATCCTGTGGGGTAAAGCATCTGCATGAAGGAGGCTCTATCCAGCCAGCCAGACTCATTAGTGGCTACTCTCTTAGCTGTGTCTAGCACCACCAGAGCTGCGGCATAGGCACAGCCTCTCACTGCCTGCATAAACACTGTACAGCCATCTGCATTCCTGAAGAATAATAATGGAAATGGTAAACTCTGTCCTAGCATCAACTTTGAAAAATGATCGATTAATGCTGTGTATCCTTACACTGTAATGGTATATCAGCTCAAAATAATTCTTTTGATGCCAAACGACAAAATACATTTATTAGAGAGAAAAACTTCCTCCTAAAACTTGATGCCATACCTAGCAGAGAGTAGTTCAACCAGATGTGGCTGTAGCTGTGGACATTCACACAGGATCTTCAGAATGGCCATGGCATTCACACGCCTCTCCTTCTCCTCCAGTTTGACCGGTGGAATTGACACCGTGCTGAACTCCCCCGATACCAGGGGGACACTCTGAGTGCTGGAGGACTGGCGGGGGATACCATGTTCTGGATAGAAAGAATGTGAAAATATTAAAATAAAGGTGTTAAAGTACATAGTGTTTCACTACAAAAATGAAGAGAAAACTCAAATGTATTGATATAATTACTTTATACAAGGTCATTTTTGCCCAATGTTATTTTCACCCTTTTGCACTTGCTATCAATTTTGCCCCATTCGAAAATTGCCCGATCACAACTATTTTTACAAAATTATGCTGTGTTCCTTGAATTTGGCCCATTTTAAATTTGCCTACTTATGATAAGAAAAAAAGGAACAAAAATAAAACGAGGTGAAAAATCTCCCTGTAAACAAAATAGAGGAAGGGGCACTTACCCTGTTGAAGTGTCTCGTAGCTGGGTGGAGGTGGTGGGTCAGGGGGCCATTGTAGTGTAGGTATGGACATGTCCTCTGAGTCCCTGACGTCCATCCCACTGACCGCTCGGGCGGCAGAAGAAGCACGCTTCATCATCTCTCTCAGACTCACACTGAAATAATCAACCAATCAAATCATAAATATTCATGGTGAAATTAATAATTTATTGAAATATTCATCGTTCACACTTGACTGATTTCTGAGAATAATGAAATCCTTACCACCTTGAGCTTGGATCACTGGTCCGTGACTGGATGGCATTGAGAGCATCCACTGCGCTGCTGACTGCATTGATTGCTTCCAGGGCGGAGCTGAATGAACTGCTACTACTGGTGGTGGTGGCAGAAGCACCGGTCGTCGACAGAGGGACTGGATCTGTATAATACAACACCGATATCATGAGAAAATACTGCAAGTACACCCTAAAGTTCACAATTTTGTCGAGGAATTTGACTTTTTCAGATTGTGGATCTTCGATAAAAATGACATTTGTCATCACTTGAAACACTTTTTATCAACTCCATCAAGTGATAAAGTAAAGGTATATATTTTACATAGATCCCAATGAATAAGACACCCCACCCATTTTGTTAAGTTGAATTGATAAAACTGTGGTGTAAATCTAACCTTGGTCATAGTCTTTGTTAGAAGTGGGTATACACATGGCCACACAGGTGTGTAAGATGTTCCTGTTACCATCACAATGCTCTTTTACAATTTCCTGTAGAATTTTCTGACCAGCAGCTGATTCTGGAAAAAGCAACACAAATATATAGCTCAAAATAGCCTGTTTACAAAAGAAACCAATCAATAAATTTCCTAAGGACCTACACAGCACTTTTTTCTACGACATTCAGTCTGTCATTTGGAAAATTACCACTTAAATGTTACTCAATATCTCATTAGATACATAAGTAAGGATTTTAAGCTTTTATGCTGTGAATGCAGAGATAACAAAGCAGTACCTTGTTCCTGCTCTAGGGATAGCAGAATAGACTTGACTTTCTCCAGGTCACATCGCAAAATGTGCGGGATCAATTTCTGGTGCTTCAAACAAAAGCAAAATTACATTTAACATTCAAATGTTCAATCTTTGGTAACAATCCTGCATGGAAGTTACTGAATTTTTTATTGCATGTACAGTGGACCCTCATTTATCCGGACACTTTGGTTCCCAGTCAATTTGTCCGGATATGTGAAGCGTCCGGATACCTGAATCACCAGTCTAATAAGACAAAATAACATTTTAAAAAATCCATTCCGATGAAAAATCGTCCGGATACTGAAGCATCCGGTTATCTGGCGTCCGGATATCTGAAGTTCCACTGTATACCACATTTCGAAAGCCAAATAATTTCTTGTTTGTTTACCTCGACTGCAAGAACCAGGACACAGGCTTTGTTCTTCATGTTGTTGCCCACTGAGTTCAGACACTGGACCCTCATCCCCAGGGCTCTGACCGGGGGCAGATTAAGCCAGAGGGGGTCACGTATGCCCTCCGCACAGTCCTTAGCCAGGGGATACAGGGCACCATTACCATCTTGTAGCTGGACCAACAACTCCTGCATTAAAGATCATAACCAATAATATATATCAGAATCTTGAATTCTTTTATGTATGATTTGTTTTTTGAATTAAATACTAAACTTTTTCTTTCATAGCTTTTTTAATCTGCACTTCATATAATCTGTTTAATTTAATTTAATGACTTCTTTGTTAAAATCAAAAGACCAAGTGAGCTATAAAAACTTTTAGAGTATTATCATAAAATTTAAGTTTCATAGATGCTACAAATGTAAGCAAGTAAAACTTACATCTCCTGTGTTGTGTAGTGTGATTTCACTGCGATTTTCTCCCAGAAATGTTTGAGCATCTGTCTGGAAGGTGGCATCTTGGTCCACTTTACCACTGGTCAGGTTATAGATCGTGTAGCTCAGGCGTGACCCAGATCTAGCTATCAGGTGGATACCTACAACAAGTAATGATACACACAGTCAAACAGAAAGTACAAGTAATGATACACATCAGTCAAACACAAAGTACAAGTAACAATACACATCAGTCAAATAGAAAGTATACAAGAAATTCAGAAGTTGATTACATGTCAGCTCTAATACTATCAGCTATCACCTAATGGGAGTGTATTTTAAAATTATCAGAGCAAATATTGTCTTCTCTCTTTTACTTTCAAGAAATTGCCTAAATCTGACCTTCACAGTCCACAGCTACAGCCAGTATCTGACCGCTCTCTGTCAAGGTCACTTTCTTGGGGGTCTTCTGAAAACAATCAGGCAAGCGGGGGGCATTGGCATTCTTTAACACCTGGTTTAAAAATACAAATGAAAAATTAAAATGCAAAGTCTGATTCATCAGAGAAAAAAAAAATACCCATAGTATCCTTTTTGCCATTTTAAACAGGTTCTACATTTAAATTTTCTTGTTAATGGGGTTAACAACTGCATCACATCTTGCTACAAATGACAGTAAACAAGCATATAGTGAAGTGCCAATACCAACACTTTTGATTTTTTAATAAGCATATTCATTATACACTATGTTCTATGGCGAATGGAAATAAAATCACTTTAAGTGTGAATTCATTGTAAGCATGTTCTCTATAACAGTATTTTACAGTATCAGTCTTTTCCTCTGACCTGTAACTCATCCTTTCTGAGTATCCTACAGTCCTGTAATAGACTGACTGGATCCTCTCTGCCACTGCCCGATTCTAATGCATCCCTGGACTGAAACTTAACCACTGCATACGCCCCATCTACCTGTTAAAAAGGGAATAACACAACTCTTAACTTTACACATTTACATAAACATTTTATATTTACATGAAAATTTTCTAAAATGTACTTACTTTGACCACTTTTCCAACTGGGACAGTTTTCACATCCTCCACAAAGATAACATTCTTTAATGGCCAGTTCTCCTCATCCTTTTTATCAAAATCCTTCATTGGTGTTGGCGCCTTCTTGCGCTCTATAAAATGATCATTTATCAAAATTTTACCTCTAACAATGACAAATTATTTCAATTACCTTGACTTTTTTTTTTACAATATGCATGTACAGCAGGTAACTTTGTAAAAAGTGTCCACTAAATGGACTGTGTAATACTTACTGAGAGAGGTGCTGATGAGGGTGGGGCCGCTGTGGTCACTACAGGTGGAGGAGTCAGGAGAGGGGGGTGGGGGCATGTCTGACTTCACATCACACGACTTCACCTCCAACTTAACCTCAGGTCTAGGTTCTCTGTAGTAAATAAATACATCAATTACTATCATTTGTAACTTACATTTCATCTCACTTTTCTAATCAAGTCAATGGACATGTTCTTATTTAGAGTCCAAAGATACTGACCACCAGAAGCACATGGACATTTTTGATCAAGGGATCTTAATTCAGTTAAAAAAAAATATTTATGTAAATTGGTCACAAGAAGATCAAGAAATTTTCCTTCACTTAAGCAGTGCTAAAATTTCATGTGTGTACAACTTCAAAGTCTAGGATAAATCATTTGGACAGCAATGTCAAACACTCAGTCTGGCTCATACTTACACAGGTGCATGCTTGAGGATCTTGAAGCGACAGCTGTCAGACAGTGACCAGGCAGACTCCAGCAGCTGACCTACTTTAGGGACACCGTCAATGGTGGCGAAGGCTAGGGCACCACTGTGGTACATAGGGGAACTCCTCAAACAAACCTATAGCACAATAAAACTCTATTTACTACTGAGCACAAAGTAAGTAAAAAGAAATCTAAAATAAAAGTATATCTTCAACATTTAAGACTGCATAATTTTGTCAATTTAACCTAAGGGGCTGTCATGTATTTACAACTCACCAGAGAGCCAGCAGTAACATCACTGGTCACCGATCCATCCTTGGTTTTCTTCTTCTTTGTCTTCTCCAGCATTTTCTTCCTTTGTCCAAATGGCATGATGCCCCACCAATAGAGGGCACTGCTTTCCAGCCTGGCACAGGTATACAGGGAACAGGTGTGGAGAGACACAATCTTATCCGTCTGGAATTCTGGGAAGGTTTGAGCCTGATGCTCCAGTTTGGAGGCCACACTGTTCAGGGTCTCGTCCACCCAGGTAGCCACCTTGTTAGACTCGGTGAACACTGAGGCCCTGACGCCACACGCAGACAATCCCATGATCCTCTCATTCTGTAGACCCAGAGGTAGCACCTTAGGATGGCGGATATTGGGGTTCTGTAACAAATATTTAAGTAATCTTATTATCAAGAATATTTGAATGTTTTGTGACTGTGAAATCTTCCAATATGGTGTCATATTTTATTAACTTCTGATATCAGACTGTGTTATGTCTGTGATATCATGATATCTTTTATAGACTACATCTTAAATGTTTTTTGTATATACATCTGATATCCGGATATTTTGTACTTCTGATATCTGACATCATATTGTGTTATTGGGTGTTGATATCTTGAGATTTTATTTCCCTGATATCTTACATCATAATGTCTGTATGGCTCCATCTCATTCCACTTCCAGCTGTATAACTGTCCATTGGTTCCCACGGCAACCAGGTCAGAGTGCATCGCAGCAATGTGAGTAAAAGTAATGGACGTTCCATCCTTTGAAAAATAATTAGATTTTTCGTTTATTGAAAAAATACAAAATAACTTAGGCTATGCTGAATATATACTGGATAAAAAATTAAACATAAAATATCATATAAACACTGTATGTGTACTTTGAATTTTTGCCACTCCAGACATAACAAGGTGTAATGGCCGATGACTAAGATGAAAACTTTGAATATTGAAAGTCTAAAAAGCCTGTCATTGGTTTATTATATAATAATCTAGGCTAAAAGCATCTGCTCGAGAAATTATCAGCATGTGTTTATAATGTCAAAAACGATATATGAAAATGTCAAAAACAATTTCATTTAAAATTGATAACAATCTTAATAACAAACCAAACAACTGAAATGTCTTGTATATCATTCCGCAATGTGACCAAAGTTTTCCAATATTCATTTACTAAATGTCACTATAATTAACACTTACCTGTATTAACAATAACAATAACTTTTACAACGATTAGCATTCAAAAACAACCTACTTAAAGTTTTACAACATTTAAAACTTTCTACATTATTCCAGACTTCTGGACTTACTTTCTCCATCAGGAAATGCAAGTCCTCTCCAAAGTTAACCGGGGTCTGAGAAGGGGCTGGTTGTTTTTTCAGGTTCTCTCCCTCTATGAGGGCCTCTGCCTTGTCACGCTCCAGTGATTTGAGTGTCTCGTCTCTCAGTGTTGTGTCTAAACGTCTGCGGTCTCGGATGCGGAAGATGGATTCTCGGCTTTCTCTATCCAGATCTCGATCTCTGTCACCTACAATTATAACACCATATTAAATACACAGAAATCTTCAGTTATGATATAATCAAACAATTATCAATTCTTTTATTCAAATTATTGCGTATAAGAACAATTATCAGATAATTTTCGACAAAGCCTGGAAGAATCTGTTTATGTAACTCTTTCTCTCTCTCAAAAAGAAAAAATAGAAAAAGTATATATTTATCATGATGTATTGTAAAGCTACGTATTAGAATCTGTGAGTAAAAAAATTTTTTAAGTTTATCTTCATACTTTTTCAGTTCATCTATATCAAAAACAGTTGTGCATATTCAATGTGATTTTTAAAAAGATCAGTTCAATGTTCTACGTGGACATTTACTTTTTTGTGAAAATGCAAAAAAACAAAAAATATTTAAGAGAAAGTTGAGAGTTTTTTCTGATGGTTTTACCCATTAATATGTCTACCTTGAAACTTTCAGAGTTCGACATTAACGTTAGTCTCAGGCTAGGGGTGGGACGATACACAGAATCTTGCGATACAATACGTATCTCGAAACATTAGCATGATACGATACATATCTCGATATTATGCTAAATTATAAAACTATTCAAAAGAATTAGTATTTTATTTCTTTTTTTTTGTCTTGACATTAAATCAACAAATTATTCTATATCAAATCATGCGTGCTTTGAAATTAATACTTGAAGTTCATCAATTTCGTTGACTAAAACTTTACAAAAACAATAATACATGTACATATTATTACAGGGACCAACCTAGACCAAAAATTTAGGGAGACTTCACTTCTCCCTCAGAGAAATTTAGGGAGAAGTTTTGAAATTTAGGGAGACTTCTTGGCGCGCATCGCGCACATTAATCATTATCAAACTTTTTAAAAATAAAATTATTTCATTGTTTATAACTTATTAATAAATACATTTCAATAATATTTATGTAATAACATCATACTAAAAATAATTAAAAAGAGAAAAAAACTTAGAATTTTTTTTTTATACTTTTCCAATTACAAGATATAAAATTATCTGAACCCAAAAATTAAACAATATAATTGTATAAGTTTCTTTTTGATAAACTTGTTAATTTTTTTTTTTCATTTCTTTCATAGTATGCACAATTAACTTTAATATTCTCTCTTGTTATTTTTGATTTTCAGGTTCTTTGCATAGTCATATTTTTTTATTTTCACTTCAAAATTCATTTTCAATCTTAAATTCTTTTTCTATAAAAGTTTTTATGCACTTCAATGACTACTGCATGTAGTACCCCTAGTTAGAATAATCTAACTGTGTCTCGGTACAAGCCCTCACCACAGTTAGAATACGTCCCATATACTTGCAATGTAGCAAATCGGAGCGGATCCGCTCCGAAACGATTTTGAAGAATATAAAATGATTTGCACTGGGAATAACTCCCAAAATAATTAAAACAACCCTTTTTGAGATTGCTTATGCCTTTTATCCCAAAAAATAATCCATATAAATACGAAAATCCAATTCATTTTCTCAACGTTTTTCTCTCGATTCAAATTACCTCCATGATTACATTCGGAACTCTCTAGATTGTTCCTAGTAAATGCACTATGCGAGTTATCGCCCGTGTTTCTTTTGCTACATTACGAATACACGGAACGAATTCTATCGTTAAACCGGGTCCGTAGGACAATATAATTTTAACGATAGAACATTCTATCTAGTAGTACCCCATGCCGATTGAACTTTAACTTGACTGTGTGTATTAGACATGTAATTTCTTAGACAGTTAATAACTCCACAATATATAACAGTAAAGATACATCTGTATTTACAGCATGAATGAATTATTCGACGATAAAAAGATCTAAAATCATCTCCAACATCTTTGGCATGACATCGATAGCTGTCCAGCTGTTTTGCATCTTGTTGTGTGTAACTTGTAACAATGGACTTTTAAACGGAAGCGTAAAATCTAGAGGAGTTCTGACAGAGCATTCAATGACTTGGTCATTAGTAGCGAAACAGGTGCAAGTGTCCTGCTGTTTCGTTTATTTCAGCAGTAATAAAACCAGATTTATGTGAATACTGACAATTCTACCATGTTTCTTAATAGATTTTTTTATGATTCTCAATAAAGGAATTCCAAATGTTAAGGCGACTTGAACTTCGCTTTCATGATAAATTACGGCGAAGTTTGGAGCTCAAAAGCGACTATTTCGCCTCAGTCGCCCCCTAGGTTGGTCCTTGTTAATATTAATAAATTACTAATAAGAAGTTGTTTACAAATAGTTGTGTAGTTCATCAGAGAACACTGACTAAAATTCATTTAAAAAACATCACATCTACATTATTATTAATTGCTGAAAGTCTGTAGCAAAGTTGAGATTACAAAAAAAAGTACGAGATGGACTAACAATTAATAATATCAAATGTTCTGGAAGCGATACTTTCTGTGTATTGCACGCATTACATACTGAACTTTTCTTGTCCAATCTTCCGAGGCTGCTTAAAAGTGAAAACGTTTTACCCCTAACCAACGACTTATTAGTTCTAAAGTGTGTTTTCAATAATCAACATCAAATCTTCGCTTCGTACAAGCTGCCATTTTCCGAGGACAGGTACTTTCATTTTCAATTTTGGATAGATCGTTCGTGTATCGTTTCGTACCGATATTTTAATGCTTGAATCGTAAACCGTATCTTAGAGGAAAATATATGTATCGGTGTATCGTCCCACCCCTATCTCAGACTAATACATTTTCATTCAGACTAATAAAATCTGTGGCTAAATAGTCTGAATGGACTAATAAAATTTTCTGGAAAAAATAAATAACTTACCAATGTTCAATTCTCAACAACTTTAACTGGAAATCTCCATATGTATTTTTAAGCTTTCTATACGCTTGGCAGGAAATTAGGTAATTCTGAATCAGTTCGGCCATTAACTTTAGGACTTATTGGTATGAAATTAAACATTTTAGCAATCATTATTTAGTATGACACATAAAGAAAGATATCAGACATTTGGATTATGTAATCGTGTAAAGTGAAAAACGAATGAGATCGGGAATACGGCCGTAGTTCCTGATAGCGAGATGTCAACGAATCTTGGAGTAAAATATTTCACGTACATGTAAATGCTTTGTTTATTTTTTTTTAAAAAAGCATATAAAGTACATTGCAATGTTTATTCTATTTATTTTGACGGACTCATAAAATTGGGCACGAAACAGTAAAAGTAAAGAAGCACTAGTCCACCTGGACTAAAGCCTAAAAATGTTAGTGTCCAACCCTGACTTTTGATCTGTTTTCTTTTGATTTGTGTATAACAAAACTAAAATAAAACTTTTCCTCCATACCTAGCCTGGATCTTGTTCCTGCTGTCCTACTTCTCAGGGTAGAGTAACCAAACACATCCTCGTTAAACATGGTGTCGGCATCTATGATGACACTGGGGTGTTCTGAGTGCATGCCTCCGTCGAGGAGCGAGATGAGATCGTCCGGCATGTAAGAGTCCTGGCTGTCCTCATCCTCTACCTCACCCTCATCGTCTCGGCTCAGGAGGTTGTTCACTGCCTGGTTCACATCCAGGTTCTACAGAACAGAAATCAACAATCATACAACACAGTCGTCATTAAACAATAATATTCATTCAATTCTTTTTCTATAGACACAGAACAGGAAACAACAACCTTATGACATAGTGGTCATTCAATAAAAAGATTACAAACTAAAAGCATCAGAGAATTCATCTATTATCTCTCTGATGTTTGTAAGTATGTGTAGACGTATATCATTGAAATCATAACTTACCGTTCTCTGTAACTCCCTGATGATCAAATTCCTAGATTTTCCTTGAAGCACCACTTGACACTAAAATTGAAAATGAGACATAACAATTCTGCTAGCTCTTCAAAATATACATATTCTAGTCATATAACCTGGATGCTATCTTAAAGTATACAGCAGGCATACCATTAAATACAGCATATTTCACTGAACAAAATCATATGACACAGTACCTGACTAATCAGATCTTCAGGTACAACAGATGCTGGAACTAGAGGTCGGCTTCCCACGATGACCCCTGACCTTCGACCCCGACTAACATGAACTGTCCTCTGCATACGACTGTAGGCAGGTTGGCTGCGTGTAGTAGCAGATCCACTTATTGTTGTGGTAGTGCTGCCCCATCGCCTACAAAACAGACAGTGTACCAAATTCAAAGATGGATAAAATTTCCTTTATGGTTATGAAACTCCCTAATTGTAGAAAATTTAAATTTTAATCATTTTTTAGTAAAAAAGGTCATGCTTTAAATTTTTTCATAATCCAATTGGCTGGATTTTTCTTTAAGTGGTGTCTTCTTAAATGAATAATTCTCTTGACATACCCTGCAGGTGGGTCAGCACTGGAGCCGAGGACATCAGACACTAACACCATAGGGCTCTCCACCACCAGGGAACTGTTCCTGCTGGGAATGACAGAGGTCCTCTCATTGCGCTCAGGTCGGCTCACAGGCTTACTGTATTAAAACAACAAAAATTCAAAGAAGTTTTCAATAAACTTGTCATTTATATTAAACATAAAAAAGAGAACAAAACTTATGTATATAGGGGAAATGTGTTGCCCCTGGCTTTTTTAAATTTTCCAAAATGTCAAATATGGAACTTGAAAAGAGTTAAAATTCAGGACGCAAACTTCGGTATCACATAAACTTTGTATATTTTTTTTTAGAACAGCCAGTAATCTCATAGTTCACAAATGATGACCTAAAGAGTGCCCTTTTACTTACACTTTACTATCTGATTTGTTCAAATCTAGTTTATCTATGGCGATAGAATATCCCAGTCTGCAAACACGTCCATCCTGAAATGAACAAAAAAGAATTCCAATCAAAGATTTACAGTTTACAAATCTAATTATATCGTGTTATTCTAAGCACCTCTGATATGTTTTATACTGAATTCACTGGTCTTGGTCAATTGATTCACAACTATGTAAGAATTTTTGGTGTTGATGTAAATTGTCAATGTTTTTTTATAATGTTCATTCAAATTTGCTTCTAACAATGTCAAGCGAACAAATTAATGTACATAAAATGTACACATTTATATTAGAAACAATCCACTCTATTCATTAACCAAAATTAATATATACAAACCTCCAAGAGGAAGGCCAGACAGTTGGGGCCTACAGCACACTGTGTGACCGTCACATTGGTCAGGGCACTAAATGCTGGAGGACTGTTAAATCCATGATGACTAATTTTCTCTGCAACTTCTCTTATCCTAAAATTTTAATATCATAAATGAATTTAACAAACAATCCCAAACTATAGATACTTGGACGGGAAAAAATGTCATGCAAATGATCATGAAAGGTCGTATAATCATCGCAATAAGAAATAGGATGGCTTTGCTAACGTGTCAGTTGTGCAATATTCTTAAGGATTGCGATTCATGGCATCCTAGCTGCAATAATGTAGCCCTCTCACTTTTTTTTTTTTTTTTTTTTGGGAGAGGGCTACAACTCCTTAGGATCTTTCTAATGGAGCAGAGCGGGAGTGGATCGCTCCCGCACGGATTTCGTCTCAAATTGTCTGTAAACGGCTATTTTATTTATATGCCTTACCTGAACTTCCAAAATGTAGTTATCACAGACATAAATCGAACATAAAATATACAGAACAATCAATATATCAGTATTTTTCGTGTATGTCAACATCACAACTTAAATTTATCCGCCATGTTTACTGACCTTGACAGATTTTATTTTGAGACAGCCAATGAGATTAATGATCTACAGGGAGCGGATTTCTTTGGAATTATCTTATTTTAAGCCTTAATATCGCTGTTTACGAAAAAATGACACATGGAATGATTTTATTCATCGATGTTTAGTGTTACTATTCATCACAATTATTTATTTACCTCGACATTTGCTTTATTGAGTTATTCAAAATTTCAAGCGCAAGTCTCACTACGTCACGCGTGAACTGTCATGGCTGCGAAATAAGCGAGAAGAAATCACACAGATTTATTTTACATGGTTTTCGCGTTTAACGAGCTATGATGTCGACAGTGAATAAAAATCTCGTCTTATTAGAAGTAAGTTGAATGTAAAAACAATTTATTCGGCCTGCAGTCGCTAGTATTTAAAAAATATTTTTGCACCATTACGGAGATGCTATGGAATTGTAGCCCTCTCCAGAAAATATCAGATAAAAAAAAATCGGAGAGGGCTACATTATTGCAGCTAATGGCATCCCACTGATACAATGAACAACTTTAGATATTTTTTTTCATAAATAATCAGAATTAATAAATTATCCCTATTGTTTGTTTGACTTATTTCTTGTCAATAAAGTAGCCCTAGTATTCTAATTCATTAATTATTCCACCGGACGTGCCCTCAACACATGCTTGAATTTCTCAGATATTTGTTGTCGATATTCCACCCTCCTTTCTTACCTGTCATTCAGCTGTGTGTCGCTCCCTGGAAGAGGATGAACAACACAGTGTATTGATGTCATGTTTTCCTTTCGTTTTTCCTCTAATTTACTCCCGGAATTACGATAATAAGTAACATAAATGTTATGAAATTAACTCCACTCTTCAGAGAGTCGTCGCCATTTTTCCTCCGTTCGGATTTGCCTTTCACAGAGAAACAGATGTTCTGATTGGCTTAATCGGAAGTATTTAGGCGGATCCAGGTTAACAATATTTTTAGTGATGATTTATTTTTATTTTTTACTAAAAGTTGAGAAAGTTCTAAGATGTTCTCTACTATTCAATTATTTATTGAATTTTTGTTCAACGGTTTGTACTTTACAAAATAAAAATTGATAACTTAAAAAACATGTATTAGGCTATAACACACAGTTTTCATTTTTTAAAAAGTTATTAATTAAACTGAGTTTTCTAGAAAAAAAAATAAGAAAACGCAAAATAAGTAATACGTGAAATCCTTTTAAGGACGTGTGCAATGTTGTCTTGAACTTGAATTTCTTATTCTCTATTCCATTTAAAAATTTCAATTATGATTATTGAAGGATTATATCAAGCCTGTATATATATACACATAATGTAAATGAAGTATTTGGGAAATACATATACCAACTAAAGCTATATTTATGCCAATTTTTCTCTAAAAATGCTAAGATTTTCTTCATTTAATATTTTGTCAAAACTTCTGGTAAAATGCGTGCTATTTTCTGTGTAAGATATAGTTATAGAATAATCTGTGTCTCGGGACAAGCCCTCACCATGCTCACCACAATCGTTAAACCGGGTCCGTAGGACATTTATCATTTTAACGATAGAACATTCTATCCATGTAAGACCATCTTGTGATACTCAGATACTGCTGGTGATTTGAAAATGAGATTATCTTAGAAAATGAAATTACAATCATTTGGAAAGGTCTTTCTCTTCTCATTCAAAAGATATATGTCCAGCGTTAACGTTTTTGGTACAGACGGACAGACTTAAAGACGAATGATATTCAATGTCCCCTCGCTTTCAAATGGTAAGAAAGTGTCAAGTTTTAAGACAGTCAAAGAGACATAACTCTGATAACAACCAACGCAACACATCTGTGAACAGCGTCTCAATCCATGGTCCCAAATCCGCAAAAGAAAATAATTTTGGCCGTGGTTTGTGAAGATAATCAGTGGGTACCAAACTAGATTTTACACCAGTGACCAGTATAGATTACAGGTGCGTGGACACAGATTTGAAGTTAATATTTTCTATATATTTATATCACGACTTATATATTTTATAGCATTTCACCTTAAAATGTGACAATCTTGTTGTGTATTAATGAAAAATATGCGGAAGCAAGCCTGCATACACGTAATTCAACTTTTTTGAACGATGGGTGATTTTTTCTACGAATTTTTTAAGGTGTATCATTTCTGTTGACAGCCCCCCCCCCTTTACTAAATGTCTTATGACGTACCTGGCTTGAACAATAAAACTCGTATCTTTATCAACATGCACAATATATGTATTCCATGGGGAAAAAGACGACAAATATGAAAATATTATTTTCGGGAAAAAAGTTTTCTGTATCTATTCTAAAACGTACTTAAAAAAGTTCGTTCCATGATGAAATACATGTACTTTCGAAAATTTCAAAGTAGTTCTAATCTACTACAAATTTTCAAGTCTGACAAAATCACAAGATTGTCGCGCTTTAGATTTAAAGGAATTCATTTCTAGCAGGAAGTTATAGGCTTTTATTTCCAATTTCCATATAAAAATATGAATGAGGATCTTTAAATTAAAGCACCCAAATCAATGACAGAAATACTGGTCATTTTGTGTGGAAATAATGGATTATTTACTTTTGTTTCTTCACAGCTTATCTTGCATCACACAAAACTAATGAGCCTAGGTATAAGAAATATTAATCACTTTTCAAAAGAATAGGTTCGTCATTTTGAATTAAATTCTTCACTGACTGCATAGTACTTGAAAGAATGGATATCGATTGAACTGAACTTTTTTTTCAACCTTTTTTTTTTTCAAAATCAAAATTTAAGTGAAGCAGCTAGCATGCAGCTAGAAAGGGTCACAATGCAGGCTTTTGGGGGGTAAGGTGGCACAATCAATTGAAACACTTTCAGCTATCATAAATCTAATTCGATGTGAATATTATTGTATTATTATTGAGATCCATAAAGTGGTGCTGTTTTATAAAGTATTCTGTGTATCGGCGAAAATTATAAAATTGTTCAGGGCATGACCTCTCCTAGCTCGGTCGTGCCCCCCCCCCCCCTCTTTGCGCATTCGCTTTTATTTTCGAACAGTTCAGACAGACAAAATGTATCAAGAATCGTCAAACAAATAATAACCACCGAATGATTAATTCTTGATAATTGCAGAGTTAATCAATCAATCAATCAGTGTATATAACACTGTATAATAATACGAAAGAGACTGTAAGTAAATTGACACCCCCATGCCCCCCCCCCCCCCCCCCTCGGAAACCTCTGTTAAGTTGGAAGGAAGAGTCACATTATGAAAAAAAATGAAATTCTGCCATACTCTCCACCACCACCACGAGGTTTCTTTTACATTTAGGCTGACCTGGAATCTCTGATCTCTAAAAAAAATCCTGAATCCGCACCTGTCGACCATGCTTGAAATCCGTTCATTAGAGGTTTCTTGGATTTTTTTTGACCGATTTTTTCAAACGTTAGATTTTATTTTTGACATAGTTATAAAAGTCGCAATTAGTATGACTTTTGGGTCCATATTTTCGCTAAATTGGGCCCTGGACCGACTAAGATTAAAAATCACGGACTTGAAGCGCTATTTTCGCGCCATTTTCCTTTCAATCGGAAGTGAAGTAAAAGTCAAAAGGTGACAGGCAAAATGGTAATACTCTGAGTGGTGCGTGATAATATGTGCTAAAGAAAGGGGTTTGTATAGTTAGTATCAAATGGATTGTTTCCATTAACATTGATTAAGGTTTGTTAATCTGAATTCACTGACTGACAAATGATTCTGTTTCATTATAAGAAACTAGCTGAGTAGTTCATTTAAAAAATGTCATTGTACAAGTCGTTTTCCATTTCTACAAGGAAAGCCTCTTCACAAATTTAAATTTTATTCTTAATACTTAAGAAAAGTGGGAATTTTGTTGTGTATTAATGAAAAAAAAAATTAAATCTATAATACAGAAAATTCAGAGTAGAAATATTCGAAAGTAATAACCAGGTCCGGCACAATCTCTTGATTAAGCTATATAGCTTTAAAAAGCTATATAGCTTTATTAAGCTATTCAAAATAGCATGATAAAGCTATTTATATGCAGTTTTTCACAAAAACGGTTTTTGAAAGAAATAAACAAAAAGTCGCAAGTATTTGACTATTCATATATATATGTACTATGGACTATCAAAAATACAACCTAAATAATAGAAAGTTCTAACATTGCTGCTGTTGAATACTTTAAGCAAAATATGAATTTCCATTGTTTGAGTAGCTGTGTGTGCGGTGAGGCGTGGGTAAGTATGATTGCTTCTCATTGTGATGAACTGTAACTAATCAATTATACTGTTGGCCATAACTGGCCTCCTTTATAATTTCATTCAAGAAATAACTGTGTGGTCACTCATCAATAGCCCCAAAACTGTTAAAACTTTGAGTACGAAGTCTCTCAATGAGACGCAATTTGGTGAGTGATATTTACATGCATTGTATTCAGAAGAGAACAAAGTTTAATATTTCCACTGCACCTAGGTGCGACTTTTTGCACATGTTGAAAAAATAACACATTTGAGAAAAAAGTCTGAGAAAATAGCTTAATCAAGCTATTCTGAATAGCTTAATAAAGCTATATAGCTAAATCAAGCTATATAGCTTAATCAAGAGATTGTGCCGGACCTGATAACACTATCACTAGTATCATCACTCAGTGCTCAGTGTACTATACAGAAAATATTGAATACACCCGTGAAACAAACTGTTTTTGTAAACAGGGCACAAGCTCTGTTATTGTTAATGTTTACAATTCACAGGGTGTGTTGACTGTGTTCAATTTTAAAGTCTGAAAACACCACTGAGAATGGACTGACATTATACTTCGAGTTTGTTTTCCTTTTACATTTTTATTCTGAATTTTTAGATTATAGCCTAGTTTTAATTTTTTCATGAATATTGAAGTCAATATTTTCTCTATAATATTACGACTTGCATATTTTAATAGCATTTCACACAAAAATGAGAAATATTAAAACTTTTATCCAGAAAGTTAATTTTATTAGCTCTACTGGTCAGAGACCAGAAGAGCTTATGCGATAGTCATGCGTCCGGCGTCCATCCGTCTGTCTGTCTGTCTGTCTGTAAACAATTTTTCAAAATGCTACTCCTCCTACAGTTTTGGTTTTATTTCAATATAACTTGGCACACAAGTAGACTACACTAAGATACATAATTCTGTGTATCAGATTTTGATTTCGATGAACGGTGTTGCTGTGGTTACTAAAAATAGAAATTTCTGTGAAATTCTTTCAAAATGCTACTCCTTCTACAGTTTTGGTCTGCTTTCAATATAACTTGGCACACAAGTAGACTACACTAAGATGCATAATTCTGTTTATCGGTTTTTGATTTCGATGAACGGTGTTGCCATGGTTACTAAAAATAGAAATTTCTGTGAAATTCTTTCAAAATGCTACTTTTCCTACAGTTTTGGTCTTATTTCAATATAAGTTGGCACACAAGTAGACTACACTAAGATACAAAATTCTTTGTGTCAGTTTTTCACTTTATTGAACGGTGTTGCTGTGGTTACTAAAAATAGAAATTTCTGTGAAATTCTTTCAAAATGCTACTTTTCCTACAGTTTTGGTCTTATTTCAATATAACTTGGCACACAAGTAGACTACACTAAGGTACATAATTCTTTGTGTCAGTTTTTCACTTTATTGAACGGTGTTGCCGTGGTTACTAAAAATTGAAATTTCTGTTAAATACTCTCAAAATGCTACTCCAAATACAATTTTAGTCTGATTATAATATAATTTGGCATGCAAGTAGACTACACTAAGAACATAAGGAGACTTAATCAAGGATCATAATTCTATTTATTGCTGTTGTAAAGTTTCAATTCCCAACTGCTTAAGTACTTTTCT